ACATCCCCCTTTCTATTATCGTTCGGAGACCGCGCGATCGTGTGCGAGCTCTTCCTACTTCGGTGTAATTAGGTCGATTGCATCGAGCTTGGCAAAAATTCTCGGCTCGAAGTAATCTTCGTGAGATCTTCGCGTCCGCGTTCGGCTTTGCATTGCACGCGGTTTTTGCGGAAAGAAAGTCCTTTTCTCGGCTGATGCCAGATGACGAGTAATCCGCGAAGTGTAATTGAGATTTTTCGCTAGTAAAAACTCGTATTCTCATATGTTTTATGAGTTAGCGTATTCCTTGCTCTCGTTCGTTTTGTCTAAAAGTTGTACATCTCACTGTAAGACTCCAATAACAGTACTAGACATTATGACAATATGATTAATGCCAGGAATTAAATAATGACAACAATGATGCTAATTTAATTATAATCAAAGTATATGATGATATTATACGCCTATTCATCCGTTATCTTTTACAGTATTACACGCGAATGTGCGCAGAAATTTGTACGTATATCGATTGATTGTCGCCCTCGAAGGGCATCAACGAGTTAATCGCGCGCGAGTTAATCGGTCGACGTTTCATTTTTAATCGGAATATTTTTCCCCAGAGAGAGAGATAGATGGATTGATTCCATTATGCGATACCATTACGGGACGGCGAGTCGCGAATTATCCACAATTTATTTAAGCAAGATCAGAGCAACCTCGCTGTACAGTAATAGGCGTTTTCAATTCGCGTCGGTTAATTCATTACGCGTAAATTCACCACATAACGGTATTTCACACGTATTATTTTTATTCGTATATCGCGCATGATATCGCTAAAGTATTATAGGTATATTTCGCTTTTAGACTACCGCTCTATCTTTCTCTCTCTCCGCAAAACCGCCGCATAAATTTAATATTGACCATCGAACGCTAACAAACGACTATCCTTCACATTTTCCCTCCCTTTCCGGTCCTTTACCCTCCCCACCTCCTTTTCGTGTTCATTGTATCTCTTCTACTACTCGATAATTGATGTTGCCATTCATCTCTTCTCGATGTACTCGTGATTGGCAGTGTAGCATACAGAGTGGAAAGAAACCCCTTAAATATTCACTTGTGCACGAACCATAATTACCACCACCCGAATGCTCTGTCATGGTTGTTGCATTGATGCTAGTCGGACGAACACAATATACTGTTTCTTTTCTTCCCCCCTCCCCTCCCCCTTTTTTTATATAATATATATATATGTATATATCGTTTCTCCTCTTAGAGGCACGCATATATGTCGATGTTTTTCGCCTATTAGTCAAATCCGATCGACTATTTGAAGAGGAACCCTCGTTTCGGGCGATGCTCGATCTGTGGCCGAAAGTAATCGCATGGATTTCTAACAATTATTTATCACTAAACTTAGGAGAGTGAATTTAATGAAATACGTGATAAGATTATGATAACAGATCATTAATTCTCGATTACGTAATGATATTGCTGTAAATCGCGAAAATATATTTTAATATCAAATTATCTTTAGAAGAATTATTCGTAAATTCACATTTCTTTTTTTTTTTATATTGTATAAAAATTCAGTATTTACGATCATGCGTGAAACAAAATAGCCGCAATATACGAGATGAAAACGAATGGAATTCGAACAAAGTGGGTGTATGAAGGGTTAATATTTAATTTGAAGGCTCATTGGTTTCCGATTAAACTCGCACATCCGCGATATGTTCATTTATATATGCGGTGATCGTGCACGAAATTTGTAACGCGCGTATTCAACGGCGAATTTTTTTACCGCGAGATTTTGTAACCGGCTGGGGCGAACGCGAGCAACGTATGATTTCGACTAAGTGGCAGGCGGGCCGATTAAAACGGGTCGACAATGTTTTCATTGTACGGATATAATATCACTGTTCTTTGCCGGGCGCGTTATTCGTCGGACCATATTTCCATAAATTTGAATTTTCTCTGGGCCGGAACGGCGTGTCGGGCGATCTGCCACCGCGTGCGCAGTCGATTAATTAATGGTCGTTAATTGGCGTGTCACGCGCACTCGTAAAATTCGGTCGAAGACAGCGGTCATTCAGCATGGTTGCCTTTTAAATTTGTGTCCGGGATGAATTCGGCGGTCAGTCGTTGCGTGTGTTGCGTTCGCGAAACGTCAGAGCGTACGAACTATAATTTTTTCAACAATATATTAATTCTATCTTTGAGCAAAACAGATTTGAGAAACAAATTATTCTTTTTAGTTTCAATTGACGCGAAGCTGTATTTTCAGAAAAATGATGTAAAAAGTAAAAGCAATGTTCTATCAGTATACTTTGATATTTCTTTTTTACTTAATTAAAGAATTTTATCAAGTAAGATTTTATAAGCGCGATATCTTTTTAAATAGCCTATTTTAAAAACTCAAGTTTTAAAAATAATAATAGTAAAATAATAGTTTTATATAAAAAGTAAAAATATACACGCACATGCGGAATATTCTAAACGAAAAATTGCTTAGTTATTTGATATATAAATACGTTTATATCTAAAAAAGAATATTAGTCAAAATATATAGTGAGAGAATAATATAAAATCTCTCTTTCTTTTTCCTAACTATAAGAAATTGCAAATGAAATGTCCATTCTTTTAATGGACGCGCGTGTTGTTCTCTTCAAAGTGAAGATTATTTAAGGCGAATTATCTGTATAAATGATAAAGCACTTGTTGAATCACTCTATCGGCAGCTGATCTGAAAGATGAGATGACTTCGTGCCGATGAAAAGGTAGGCAGAATCGACAGTTTTTATTACTTCATCTTGGACTAGTCGAGGATAAAAAGAATTCTTTCCATCGTTGAGTTTGTTTTTCCAATTTTTTTTTTTTTTTTTTATTGGATCTGTCGATAACTCAACGTCATTTGTCGTTTCCGTCAGTACAGCGGCTATTCATTAAAGTCACTATCCATCAAGGTCAGGTATCTATATGGCTCTTCTGGTCATATCATCTATCAATGTTAAAACATAAATTAAGAAATATTTCACAAGTATAATCTGTCACGATAGCTCGATATAATTTATTTGTTACGCTTTCTGGAAAATTAAAATTATCAGCGATATGACAATCCAATGGCAATGGAATTCTTATCCCAATGATGTTCTATTTTTATATCTTTGAAATTTATTGGAGAAGTATTAATATCTATATAAGTAACAACCACAGGGATTTTCATTTCATTGTAAATTATCTTAATCAATCTAATCAAGAAACGTTCTCTTTTGTCTGTTATCTCCGAATATAATTGGTCACCGTTTCACAATCTAGATGATTAATAGAGACCCAAATTGTTTCCCGTCTTGCTCTAGAAATACAGAGGGTGGCTAATATTTCATGATCTCGTCGAAATTCGCCGAGCGAAGCTTGCTACCGCGAATCTAAAATGCATCATCTGGGTAAGAAAACCCACTAGCCACGTTGTGCATCGTCAGCTTTCGGATATGTGCATTCGCCCACGATTTTTCTTCCTCCTTCGGAGGCCAATCATGCAAGCTGCTCCGCAATGTGGATGAATCGAGTCGCGACATCTTCGCGTCCTCATTCCCGTTCAACTTTGTCGAGAAAATATATTATAAATATATTTTCAAAGCTTATGTACAGATCGACTGGAAAATAAGCGATCGCCTTGGGAAAATAACCCGCGTCTGCGTTGCGCTTTTCTCCTTTTTGATTTCGTCAGATTGCGGAAATCTCGATGTTCATTAGGCGAACAGCTTTCAAATACTGCTCTTTGTGATCTTAAATCGGTCACACGATGGAGCACTTTTCTTTCAAAGCGTGCAAATTGAAATTGCCACGCGCGGAAATTGTCCTCCTACTCTGTGCTATCCGTTAAAAGAATTTACAGCAATTCATCGTGAGTGGATCGCAATGATAAAATTACGCGTCGAAAAATTGATCGACTCGTAAAGGAGTGTGTTTTTACCGCAATGAATTTCGTTTCCTCGAAGTTGCAATCAATTCTTTCGCTTCGTGCCATTTCCCGAGTGTCAACTGCAAGCGGAGCAAGGAGAGCAACTTTTCTATTTCTCGATTTTCCAAAGTTTATCGCTCTACTACCCTCTTTTTCTTTCGCCGCCGGCTCTTCCGGTGTTCTCCGTGCCCATGTTTATTTCTCGAGCACAATTCCCAAAGCCAATCTTTGATAGGAAGAACAAAATTTCCTGCTTGTACCATATCGAAGGTCTTTCCTCTGCGCAAACAGGGTCAGATATGTTTGTCGGTGGATCGTGCTTGTTTTTTTACATTGTCAATGCGGGCGACATGCGCGTATAAAATGAAGAGTCTGTTATATTCTATCTGTGATCACAAGTTCTTTTCTTTTCGTATAGCTGCTTTTATTATATATATCTTATCTTTGCGACGCATGAGATTTTCTCGGAATGTTATTAAATGTAAATTCTTTCGGAATGTTATCCGAATTTTCGATAATAGAAATTAAAATAATTTGGCGAAATTCTCAACAAGTTAAATTTTCAAGTTCTAAATTTCATAATCGAATCTTATTTAAAGAGTATTTAATATATTTAGCTAAAAAATGATAAAATTCAAGCTTCTCCCGCTTAAAAAAAAAAAAAAAAAAATGTTTTCGAATTTATCAAAGAATTCGTTGTCAAAATTAGACATGATAAAAATGTGGTATCAGATAAAAAAACTTCAGTTACATAATCTCAAACTGGTCAGCAAATTTCATAGGAACTTTGAAAAAAATGAACTTTTTTTTTGAAGTTTTTAAACTTCGGCAATTGGGATGTTTGACGAACTAATCCCCAGACAGAATATCGGTCTTGATCTTTTTATAATTATATCAAATCAAGCCGCGAATCTACCCTCGTCTCGCTGGCTCGTCGATGTGCGCCGCAGTTCCTCAAGGAGCAACCTGGAACCCTGATCGATAGCAACGTAAGTCTCTCCGCAAGGTAGGCGACCTCGTATAATTAGCATGTGCGCGCGTGTTGCGTGTGTTGTTACAGCCGCGGCCCTTAGAGGAGTCGCCATACAACGCGGCAGAGCTGGAACGCCAAGGACCACCTTCCCGACCAGCGCGGCCGCTCTAGCACTGGTTAGGAATACAGGGCCGCTTGCGGCCGCAGCTGCGGCCACGAGTCTACATCCCTTCGCGCCCACGTAAGTATTGGTTCGGCCCGATTACGGTCAGGTCATGTCTAACCTCGGCCAGTACGAAGGTATTTCCATATTCTATTAGCGGTATTTCCGTCGGTGTCTCTCTTATATATAAATTCAATTAAATTCAATTATAATAATTTTTAAGATTATTATAGACCACTGATACAAATAATAATAATAATAACTTTATTGAGCGCGGGAAAAATTACGAGTATCATATTACAAAAAAACATTAAGTACATATAAAATATCTTTTGTGCAATAATAGTCCGACGTGATGTGTTTCAATTTATTAGAAATTATGCTATTCTATCGACTTGCTATCGTAATTAGTGTACGTCATGTCTTTTAGTAAGACACCAACAAATACCGTTAAGAAAGTATGTGTTTGTATAGAAGAATATTTCTACATGATCGAGGCCATCTGAAAAGTTTTTTCTGTGTGTTATACCGCTTGTTTCATATTTTCTTTGTTTGTATATTCCTCTTGTTCTTCGTAAAATCACTCTTGCAGTGAGTGATGAAGAATGAAAATTCTATTTTACGAAACTTTTGCATCGATTCGTCGATGAACGTATGTATAATAACGATAATTAATTTATGCGAGCAGAATATTAAAGAGGAATGCGTGCAACGTTAAAGTTTCGAAAGACTTGTTCGCGCGAGAGTCTTTTTTTCTTAACGATCTAGACTTGTATAGTTAACGTGATTTATATGCTATCGCGGTTTTTTCTACGGGATAAAGTTTTGTTTGAGAACTCGTGAGTTAAAACATTAAACCATTTCCTCTACTAATTCTGTTGTTTATTTTCGATGCAATATCTGATGTATTTTGCCTGAATTTAATTTGATCGAAAAAGAGAGAGAAAAATTTTAATTCTTCAAACGTAAATTGCATTTGTTAAATTCGATTAAATTGAATTAAATCAATGAAATATACAAATTACATTCAATAAGCTTATTACTAACGATCAGCAGATTTACTATGCAATCTTTTTCTGTCTTTTTTCAAATTTTAGATACGTATTTAAAATTTAATTTTTCACAATGATATTAATTATCAGATAATTGTAATTGACTCGCAGTTTGATCAGTTATAAATATAATTGCGAATGTATGAGAGAATATCATCGAGTATACGTCACATCCACATTACTTCATCGCGCCGCGAAAATCATCGAGTGATATCAATATCGATCGAGGATTATTACTCACTGCAATGAGTTGCACGTATCGCTCGTTAAGACTTTATCTGTCAGTCTCACTGCATCTGCACGACGTCTATCCCCTAAATCCATCCCTCTTCCCTCAAATACCAACTCTATCAACCTATCAAATACTAACTCTGTGCAATCCGTGCGGATTATAATTTGCGAAAAACATCCGCTCATCTCCCGTTAAATGAAAACTTAAACTAATTGTAAGCGGGAAAATAAAGAATAGAAAAAATATTTGATTCAGCATCGCTGAATTGCTTTAACTGATTGAAGATCAAAATACGACTGTTGTATCAGTGCGAATTATCGCGTCACGCTAATCACACATGCATTTTTCTATAGAATTCAAAAATCATTGTAGGATACATTTTTTTTAGATTTTTTTTATCATGTCAGATTTTTAGGAGCAAGCATGCGCGTCGAACCGTCAATCGCTTATTCATTTTAACGTTACGGAATTGGACGTGGCATTGGCAGGAATGAAAAATTTGAATATGGGCGAAAATCAATCTTTGAAGCCTGTTACACGTTCCAGCCGCGAAATCGGATTTGTCAAATCCAATATCTGCATACGTGTGTACGTTATGCATTTTAATTTAACGTCCGTGTTGTTTAATTTGTAAATGCAAATTATTATCGTGAAACAGGGGATTGGTACAAAAGAAAAAAATGTAATATAACATCATATTTTATCTTTAATTCACGTAAATTGCTACATACACGAAGGCAATAATGTATGTTTCCATATTCAATATAAAGTATACTTTGCGTAAAATATGAGCATAATATTTCAGGAATAAATTCGCGCGCGCGATGCGGAAAAATAATGAAAAAAGTTTGGAAATAAGTTAAGCTTAAACATGTCTATCCCATTTGATTTTATTTTTGCGCTACGGGAATTTCTGTGTTTTAATCATTCTTGGTATAAAACTCGATATAAACTGAAGCTAGCGTGATCTCAGCTGTTCATCTTGTGTATTATCTTTACCGATCTCACATGTACTATATTATTGATTCTTTAAAGATGTTTTCGTGATTTTTTAGAAATCGCTTCTATCGAATAGTGAAGAACAATTTTAAACAAAATTCAGCAGGGCGATCGTATATTTTTTTTTAATTTTCGGTTGTATTTATCCTTGAGAAATTGTGCTCACATTTTACAAAACATCCTGTATCGCGCGGGCGATAATACTTTGTCTCTCAACTTTTTCCATTCCTGGCAATGTGTAATCAAAATGAAGTCCGAATTCGCATCCCATAGAGTCAACAAGCTTTTTTCCCTGATCTTTTAAAACAAGATTATTACTTACCCAAGTTAAATAGACTTTTAACAACGATCTCTTCAACGAGGAGGGTAATAATGGGAGCGAGCTACTCATAAAACTAATTCCATTGCGAATACTTCTGAGCAGATGCAATATAAAGTAATCAACTTTTTCCTCGACATAATTTATGATCTTCGCGCATAAAACAAACTTCGTTCCGGGTAGTCGCGGGAAACAAAGTTTATCGCCCCTATCGTCCTCTATTATCCTGCGAGATTATCGTATTCCAGAAATGAATTTTCAATTTTATCGTCGACTGAGCGCAGTGTTTAATACACGGACGTCTATTAAACGAACGTTGTGCATTAATAAATCGAAAGATTAAAAGTTCTTTGAATCTTTTAACCCCCTCCAAATATCACTCTATTGTAGTAAATATTAAATTTTTTTTTTAAATATTTTACGCGAAACATATGTAGCGAACGTTACATTTAAAAAATACGCGTTATTTTTTTTACACAAGAGAATATTTATATATATATATAACTGAAAAGTGTTGTGAATTTATAAACGGGTGGATAATTGGACGCGCGCGCGTAACGTTAATACCTTACTAAGAGAATCGCAAAATTAAAAATCCGATAATCCTATAGGCGTTCAATAGCGGATAAATCGTTCGTATATAATACTTATTGGTAATTTTTATTTTGCAGTGTTTATTACGACCCCTTCCTCGCGGCGCACGCAGCGACACAGGATCCCAACTACAGGTTGCAGGTGAGACATTTCTCGATTTTTATCAACAATTGTTCTCCGCTTCCGGTACACGCGACCGCAGGGTACTGCGGGCGGCTACCGAGACGCGGGTCACGAATGGATTTTTAATTAAATCGGAGAATACAACGGAACGCGCGGTGCTCTGGGTGGAAACGGCGCGATAATCAATCAACGCCGCGATCGTCCCCGTGATAATCAGCTATTAATCGGAAAACAAATCTTCACGAGCGCGTTGACGCGCGTTTTCATTATGTTACGTTACATGGACGGAACATCGAGCGGGCATAATTAATCGGACGATCGGCACACTATTCATTTATGGGGTCGATACAACGCGAGTAGAATTACGTTTCTCGTCACGATTTAATGATGAAATTTTATTGATAGATATTTGATGAATTTTCCACACAGACGATTTTTCAAAAATATTAGAAGCGCTTGCAGCATTTTTCGATACTAAACGTCTAAATGTCTGATACCTTTGTTTGAAATAAAGTAAAAAAATAAAGTTTTATTATATCTACTTATATTTAACAATCTATTTTTAAGAATTTATTATTAAAAATGTGTCCTTCACATTTTTATTGTAAAGAGAATTCTAAATTGAAATCCGTCAAAGAAAAGGATTAAAATTAAATTCAACGAGATAGCGAGACGCTTTTCTATAATTCAAATTACTATAGTTATAAAATAATCTTTAAAAACTTATATCTCGCAATTGTACGTTATGCCAATTATTTTTTGTACAAATTTGCAAAAGTATTCTCGATAATAAATATTTGCTCGTAAAAACAAAACGAGAAACGATTACTCGCGCGTGCACCGGAAGCGGAATACGGCGCATCTGTAAGACGAGACAAATGAACGCCGAGATTTTGTGACTAAAGTCCGTAACACCTTTTGATGGACCCGTTTAGCTGGAATGGCCTCAAGCAACAGCTGACGTTAGTTGACACATATTTTGCCACAGGCTTGCACACACGAGAGAGAAACCGATAACAATTATCGCCTCCACTATCTCGCGTTCTACATTGTTCCGAACGTTCGCCATTCTCATCGTGTCTCATTTTTCATCTGCCTTTTTTGTTCTCTCTTTCTCTCCATTTCTCTCTTTCGTTTCATTCGTGCAAAAATCCCGATGCATCCGACGGCACCATTGATCGGAAAAAAGCGTGCACGCTCGACGCGCTACTCTAACCGTCAAGATGATTATTTCTGTCCCGATAAAGCATCTCTGTCTCTTATTCCATTCGCGCGTGAATTTTATATTCACCCGTTCCGTTAATGTTTCCTTTGAAACTAATTTGTCAAAGAACAATATCGAATTTTGACAACTATAGTTACAACGAATCATTGCTAATGAATAATGAATAGCATCTCAAATTTTCTTTGCCTTCTTAATCGCTGAGAAATCATGGTTATTAATAAAAAATGACGCGATCAATCAAAAATATAATTAAATTTTAAACTTTGATGTTCCAATTTTGAAATAGAATTCATATTTTTTTTAAGAGAACTCTGCTATCAAAATTGCGCGGCATCTTGTTGCATCTTGTTGCCTAAATGCATCTCATCACGCATCGTTCCACCCATTTCTTCTGTTCTTGTTTTTCCTCACTTTTATTTTATTCTACATTTTATAGCTATTTAGAAAGATAATCATTAATCGCATAACGATACATAGTTTCGGGGGTAAGAAAAAGTATCGTTAAAAGATAGATAATGCTAATACGCGTCGATCATACGGACGAACTTTTGCGTTTGCATCGGGAAACGAAGTTTTAACTCGCTTAACGAGGGCTTAACTCCCTCACGTAAAAACTCGAGCTCGTGTTTTCGCCGTCCGGAATTCTTCCGGAATTTCTTTTCAGGTTTGCCGTTTGTGTTTCAGGCTAAAGCGCCCGCCCTGGAGGTAGGAATTAAGAGTCCGCCTGTTCGTCTCTCCGTCTGTTTTATCTATATATACATCCCGTTTTTCTTCTTCTGTTTTATTTGGTCTGTTCTCTTTGTTTGTTTTTTTTCATGTTTCTCTCGCAAGATTGAAGTGCTCATCGATTTTCGGAAATTATTTAGTTAAATGTGTCCCTCAATCCGTTTTTGCTAGAAAAAATCCTTCCTTTTATAAAAAAAAATTTTCCTCAAGGAAGGATCGTTTAGGGGAACTGTAGAAAAGAGTTTCAGCTGGCCGTGATGAGGTTTTCCCTCTCCGACCATGTTGCGCTTTTTTTTTCGTTGTCTGCGATTGGTATTAGCGTGAGAGAGCATGTAATGTCGCCTTTTTTCAATCAGTAGAGCATGCGTCGCACAGACCTAGAATCCGTCATAGGAGGCGAGTGGAGTAAGCGTTGTGATAAATGCACGCAATTTAAATGTGTCGTTTGAAGTTTCTCAATTTCGAGGAAGCTTTGTATTATGCGGGCAGTAAATGGCATAGGCAGGTTTCGTGCGAATAGAAAGCTATACACAAGATAGTAACCGTACGATAATCTATTTAATTAATTAATATTGTAGCTGTGAATCTCGAACGAGCTACGACAGAAATAAATCTGAACGATTAATTAATTACATGTAATTACACGAGCTTTTTAAACGGAATTAGGATTTCATATAAATATAGTTTTTTTTTTTAATTTTATTTACGGAGAAAGCGCTATTTAAATGTACAATAATTTATATTTTAGAGTACATCGATAAAAATATTGCGGACAAAGATAAAGAGAGATAAATTTTGACGATATATTCAGAACTTTTATTTCAAAAATAAATCTTTATTTATGGATATTAAAAATCCAAAGGATATTAATAAATCGTTTTTTAATAAAACACACATAAGCGTAAAAACGAATTTTAAAGACGAATCTAACGAATAAATAATATTTAAGAATTAGCGAGATGTTAATTATCGCCATATACGCGGATGGGAAAAGGGGATTTGTACGTTCGGTGAAAATTCGTGACTGGAAAGCGTGAAGAGTGCTCTTTGAACGAGCCGGGTCATAAATTGCCTAAATATGCTGAGAATCGCGGAGAATTTTCGCGGCTAATTTGGACGAACTCAATCTGTCGAGTTCGACGGCCAGCCGATTTCGTCGCCAGCCACGATGACAGAGAAGCCCCTGATTCGTGCGAAAATTTATGGCTGTATTGCCGACCTCTTCCTCGACTTTGTGAGAAGCCATCGTAAATCAATGTCGGTGAGGGACGCTTGTCATTTAGCGACTGACGGTTTTATCCCGGTTGTTTCTGCGTGAAATGTCTTCGCGGCACACATACATACACACACATACTTCGCGAAATTGGCTCGATACAAAAATATTCTAGCTATTTATATGAATTTCCTGCACCTTTGCAGTATCAAAAAGTTTCGAGGTCGGCGCGAAAAGTTTGCGGTAGGGTTAAAATGTGCGGCTTGTTTAACTTTCGTCGGTCCGCGATAATTAATTCGTTCAGTTGCATCGGTTGAAACTGCGTTCCTTTTTCAGGTGGACTGAATGCCGTGTCCGCGAAATACTTCAAAAGTCTTTTCATTAGCTTTAATTGAGGATTCGTCGGACTCGCAATTAAGTTTCAATCAGCTGATAGTATATATAGATCGCGTGTTTATGTACCGTAATTGAGAAAGGATGTTCTTGCCTTTTTGCTATCTTTTGGATGTTTCCATAAATACGATAGAAATTTAGATCTTTATCTCGTGTTTATTGTTAGTGAAAGATATATGAATGAAAATACGAAGTAATCTGAAGCCAAATAAATCAGTCGTTTTTTATATATGTTCTTCTATTTATTAACTTATTTTTTAATTAGTAAAATCGATTAAACGCACAAACGCTAAAATAATTATTTGCATCACGATATATTTTTTAATACAGAATGACGCACGAAAAAATAACTTGATCTTAATTCTTAATAAATATTGATCTTATAAAAACTATAAAAAACTATAAGAAAATGATAAGAATATTACAAAATAATATGACTTTGTAAATATATAATTTAAAAATGTTTGTTATTCTTCTGTTAATAAAATTTGCTAATAAAAATAAATAATTAAAAATAAATAAAATAATAAATGATTTTGGTTGGTAATAAAATTTTAATATTGATAATTAGAATGAATTATTTTTTGATGCGCCACAATTTTAATATTTTATATTACTAGACTTGATATTTCTTAAATATCGAAGTGCCGCAAAATGTTCGACAATCTTTAACACCATCAGGCTTGAGCGATTAATCGTTAAACGTTTTATTCGAGCCGCAATATAAACAGGGTTCTGAGTCTGCGGTTTCGCGGTGTACCATTTAACAGGCCGACTCGGAAACGCGAATGAGAAGAAAGACCAAAGAAAGCAAGGATAGATGCGCAACAAAAAAAAAGGTCTCTGCGGGTGTGACCTTAGCGGGATGCTGAATCGGACGTAACTACGGTCACCCCAATCGCGAGATAAAAAGCTAATCACTGATTTCGCACGCGAAGAGAGAACCGTTTTTTGCCACGATCCCGACATTTCCGGTCGGCTGCTCCCGGAAATTGGATTCTCGCAAGCAGTCACGAGGAATTATTGTTCCTGTTGTTTTCGACGATATCTCACTGAAAGCGAAACGTCGTTGTCTTATTGTCAGTTTCGCTCGATTCCGCGCTCTAAGAGGATTACATAATTCTCGCCGCAGTAGAAGGATTGTATCATCGCGAGGGTCACGTCGCGTCGTATCGACGACATTTCGCGTATTTTTGAAAACTTCGGCCGAGAAACGAGATCTCGTCCAAGAAAATCTGCAGTCGCGGAGCGACCTGGCGCCTCTCGTTCCGCTCGCAATACGTCGTCCTGTTTTCTTCCCGATGGCAAAACAGCTCACTTCCCGCGTCGCCCCGCCGCCTACCCCCGTCGTCTTTTTTCGTCGAATAACAACCCGTTCCTGACCGCCGAAAGTTTCTGGCGCCGACCGAATCGTGTTTTCGTCGCGATACGTGAGCTGGTCAGCCAATTTGCGCGCGGATTTGTGCTGCTTGCAACCCGTTAGTTGCTACGACGTCAAAAATTGTTGAACGCGTCCGATTAATACGCACAGTTGTCTTTCTTCCGGAATTATATAAATAGTTTTGTGTACAAATTTTTCGTTGTATTAATCAATAGATTAATCAATAGATTAGTCCTGTAGCAATAGCTACAGGATGTTCCTATCATCTAAACTCTTGATCGATTTACACAAATCTTTATAATAAAAACCAAATTCTTTAATATTATTTTTCAATTTTTAACATTACCTAAATAAATTTGTATGTATATAATTGAACTTTGGATTAATATCTTTTGCAGCAAAATTAGTTTAAAAAGACTCTTTCTCTCTCTCTATTTTTTATTTCTCACAATTCGATAAGTATTATGTTCTTTCATTCGGTAAAAATTAATTCCATATCGAGAATTCCATGTCAAGAAATCTATGGATGAATGAGCATATTTAGGAATTGTTAAACTTTTTCCGTATTATAATTCTTTATCAACTTTTCGATAAAAATTCTTACTTAATTAGTATGAGCAGTGGATAATGCTTGAATTATGACAGTCGTTCCTAATTACGAACGACCAGGTCTAGAGTTCAAAAAATTCCTGGAATACATTTTTTTTTGTATCGCTTGCCTTTATTATGAAATAACGAACTTCACTGATTGGTGCGAACGAGACGATTCTAGCAGTGTTATAAATTTTTTTTGCATCGTTCATTGTTAATTTTGGAGTATAATAATTAGTCTACATAATATTTAAGTGAAATTTCGCCAAATAATATTGCATTCAACAATATTCGATGTATCAGCTATTATTTCTCTAAAATCTTGATGAATTTTCCCTCACATGACTAGCAACTTTTAATTAGTATGCATCTTTTTACAACTAAAAATTGACATAAATTCTTAACGTATGGTATTTAAAATCTTATTTAACTTCAAGAAAAATCTACTTGAAAAAAAATCAAAAATTCTATTAAATGTTTTGATTAACATTCGCGTTTATTCTGCTATAATTATGTATTTATCGATAATGCATACATACTTACATTTCCATAGAAATTTTATTTACTGCACGTATTAAAAAAATACGAACTTTACATTGCACATAATAATGTACACATAGTTTTACAGCAAATTAATGATGAGACCGATAATTGAACTTAAAACGGGAGGCTTTCAGAGAACATTCTTGACGATGATGAGCAAACTGCATTCAAGTTTATGTCGGCAAATGCGCGAATGGAAATGTCATGGAAATCGCAAGCGTCTGAGTGCGCGCGTGTTATGTGTCGCGAAATGGTTACATATAGGTCGGTATATCAGATTGCACATCCTAGATGCATGCGCGTAGATCTTCTGTCATCATCCCTCGGCGCCAATAAGTGGCGTCCTCGAAAGCCCCCATCCTCATCGGGCATAAATCCCCTCAGGTGCCGGGATATCGAGATGTTGCGTATAAGGGTGAGCTCGAAGCTTCGTCATGTTAAATACAATTTGGAAGTTTGTTAGAATATACATTGTTAGACATATTGAAATTCCATAGTTATTCATAACTATCTCGTAACTACGAATAGAGAGAGAGAGAGAGAGAGAGAGAGAGAGTGCTTTTGTCGACAAACACTCGAGAGAGTTTACTTATTGTATGCAATATAATTATAGCACTTAGTCGATTTATTGGGTCAGAGATTAATTTATCGTTACATCAGGAATTTTCTTGAAGCGCTTTATCCGGGTCAATTTCGAACTCTGCTTCACTGTTTTGCTTATTCAAATGACATAAGAATATATTTTTTCGAGATTATCTCGAGAAATTAAAAGCATTGTTAGATAGTTTCTTCCCTCATCGTCTGTATCTGCGTCGAAATTAAGAAAAATGATTAATAATTCATCTCATCATTACAATTTTTCTCTATATTTCGTATATTTGTCGTTATGCTCCGTTCCCCAAATATTTTTTACCTTGCACCGTGGCTATTTTCACGAGTCTTCATGTTGCATGATTCTTTTTCACATTTCTCCATTCATATGTTTTATTATTTCGTGGATTATTTAATATAGAATACATTACAAAAATCCACGCGTTACTAAAAAAGAATAAATTTTCTAATACATCCAGCACATTTAATGTACATACAAGAAATGATTGTAAAATTAGTAAGCGATAAGAAACTTTAATTTTTGGTTCATGTTTCTGTTTTTAGAATTTATAATTAGAAATTGGAATGTTCGTATCATAGCAAAACTATTTGGTACATAGTTGCTTCGTATCATAAACAAACTGGACATCAGTTTCGATTCGGATCACGTTTCTTGTAAATAAAATATTCCCCTCGGAGCTTGTTTTACAAATTACAACTTCGAGGTTAGTTATGTGCTCGAAATGTTTGAATATCCATACACTGGCATTTTTAAAACAGCGAGCGAAATACGATGTAAAGGTTACCGATAGCTTTTTTCTGTACATTCAAATCCGAAAATGCCACTCCCTTTTACATCTCGCTGTTCTATCGATGTCGTAGTGGATAACGCCGATGCATTTTATGCAATGGTTGCATATAGAAAACGTTAACGACTCAAACAATAGTAAATTCCATACATATCGAAACTTGTATATCGAATTAAAATTCAAAATGTATTGAGAATATTCTATTAAAATATAAATATGTAACATAATAATTATAATATGATTTAATGGAATTGAATTAACAGTAATGTGATGTTGCATAGCAGAGTGCAAAACATATTTCTTAACATCAACAAATATTTGATGTATAATGGCAAAGAGAACGATTATGATAGCGATTGTAAATATGAAAATTAAAGCTGATATAATCTTATTACACAACAAAGTTACATATGCTGACATAATCTTTCACTTAAACTCTCTTTTGATATGCGTTTAATAAATGTACAAACTGTTTTAATTACCACACTCCATGACTAATTGAGGGTGTGGTTGAAAAAAGAAATACGTATTCATGTAAAATTTTTAATTCGAGTTTAAAAAATACTTGTGAAGTAACTGCAATTTCACTAACAGTGAGTAAAATTGTATGTATATATATAATCGCCTCTCTTAATAGTTTCCATGATAGAATAGAATCTTCGTTACTCTCTTTTCTTAATTCGATATCGTATTTTCTTATCATTCTCTATCTCAATCGCTATCATCTTCAGAGTCAAAGCCACCTTCTTCCCTTACGTTTTCTGTATGCAACAACGCGAGCCTCTAGGAACGACCGTACTCTAGTATCGTTTCTCGCTCAGATCATTCTCTCTGTCTGTCTTTGAGCTTGCTTGAGCCTTGCATGGCGGGTCATGGTTGTTGTTTCAGGCCGCGGCAGCAGCGGCCGCAGCGTCACCCTTGTTGAAGACACCCCTATCAACGGCACAACAGGCCACGTACGCAGCTGCAGCGACCTACACGGCGGTGGCTGCGCGCGCATACGGCGCAGCTGCAGCTGCGGCACAGCCGGTCGCAGGATATGCCGCAGTCGCGGGGTAAGTGCACCGCGTTCTCGCCCGAGAAACTCCCTCATGTGTGTGTATATTCTCCTCACCGAGTCCTCTCTCCGGAACCTTTCTCTCTCTCTTTCTCTCTCTCTCTCTCTTTTTCTCTTTCCTTCCCTTCCACTCGACTCACACAGGATGTCCCAGATTTAGCAGTATCCCAGCTTTTTGTCTATGAATTTTTCGTGATTTTTAACTTTATAAATATACGCTTGTGCGAAAACTAATTTTTAAAATTGAAAATTTTTTCAAATAAAGATTATTTAAAGTTAAACGAAGAATAATTGTAAATCGATGAAAAAGGGGCCGCTCGGTAAATCTAGGACAAATTGTATGTTCTTCAAAAAAATGGAAATCTCCGCAAAGAGAAAGAAAAATTGTCGCTCTCTTTATCATTCTCGAGAAAGGAAACTTTGCGGATAATTTTCGCGAAAACACGCACTTGTCTCGTAAGATTTCTAGATCTTCCTTTGAAATCCTGCTTAATTTATTTCGTATGAATTATTTATGACTCGTTATATAGCGCTTGTTGCATCACTGTAATATATTTGGCACATTATGCAACGCGCGCGCGTTTGTTGCATTGCTGTAATATTTCTCTGCCCTTTTGATACATATCTTTAAATTATATTATATTATCGTGATTATATTATCTTTATATTAGTGAGATGAAATTGTATAGTATGCATTTTTAAGAGAGACATTTATGCTGCGATAAGACGTAAGATACGATAACCATTAAATCGATAACATTAAAAATTATAAGATTTTGAATATTTTAGTACTAATACGCGCTTCAAGTTTGATTTTTTAATATCAATTATCTAACATTTACATTATCAACACAAAGGGGTATGATTCTCGTGCCATCTATGGTCAACACGCAGGCTCATTTACATTGATATGCGTACACATATGTATAGATTGAGGGTCATTTCGAAATCATCGGTTCGACCTCATTACGGGAGTGAGATCCAAGTGTGTATTATGTATTGAACGTCGCGATGAATTGCTTTTATCTCACTATTCTTGATAATATTTCCTATCGCTATCACTAATCACCATCCTTTATGTTTACTAATTATTTCCTCTGTCTTTTTCTCAATCCCTTCTATCTAACAAAATATTAATTTTTTGAAAGAAGAAATACGAATTATCGCAAAACTTAACACGATTAGTCCATTCCTTGCAGAACTTCCGCACGTCGTGGACGAGCTGTGAGGAGTCGCAGATACGTTCGCGAAATCCAGACCCATTCCAATAGTCCTGAAAGTCCAGACACAACTACTCCTGAGAAATCTTAAAATATGCATTTCGTTTTACGTTGATATCTTGCATTAAATATAAAAATAGAATAATGTACGTATTACTATATATTGTTTTCATTTCTCATTTATATTTTTCGTAAGAAAAATCGGAAGAATAAACAACGATATAAAATCGTCCGATTTTTAACGGATCGAAAAATATTCCACGCTATTAATCGTGAACATTTTTTTATGTCCTTCTAGTTACGGGCGTGAATACGCCGACCCTTACCTTGGACACGGCATTGGACCTGTGGCGGGTTACGGGGTAAGAAACAACTTCGATTACATAGCGTACTTTCACGATTTTTCACTTAACGGGAGTGCCGTTAAATCGCGCGCGTAGCCGGGCCGTATTCTATCTATCTACGGGAAGAGAATAGAGCACTCCGTTATTATGCTATAAATAACGGGCATTGGAAAAACCCTTCTTGGTCTCATCGCATTTCATTCACATATGAATTATTAATGGCCAGCATCTTCAACTTACGGAAACTGTGTCACGGCGAAAGTTAATGATTCGTGCTTCCATATATCCTTAAATATAACTATCTATGTGATCGTCGTCTCATGTTTACAATGCAAAGGCGAGTTATATATCTGATAAACAAGAACCAAACGGATTACACATCATAAGTATGTGAAAGTTTAATCATTGCTGCCAATAAACTCAATTAACAATGCAATAAGTGAATAATATTTTAATTTGCCATTGTTAGATCAGGAAAGTAAAAAATCTTGTGCAATATTAGATTGTAATATCGCGAGCTTTTAAGTTCATAAATTTAAAACCACAATCATGCAACGTTATGTTTGATATTCTTAATATATCTCCATATAATAAATATCCCTCAGCTGTTTGAGATAAATAGTCGTGTTTAACGCTAAATGCGTCGCGATGGATAGTAACCGATGATTTATACGCTAGTTTTTACTCTGTAATACGATTTATACGAGAAATTGTAATTTATGGTTTTCAAAATTTTATTCTTACAGGCGACGGTGTACAGAAGCGGTTACAACAGGTTCACACCGTATTAAATGGCTCATTAACAGCGGAGCGCGAGAGCCTTCCAAGTTATACACCATGTTATACTCAGCAAAACATGACCAGACACAAGTCGACACAATCATCACCGTCATTTTGCCATCATCGAGATCACCTTCGAGGCATCGAGCCTGGACCCTCCACGCATAACGACTCGTCGGTTTTATCCCCCACCTTCTCCCTTCACCAACTTTGCGACACGATCGTGAAGGATGAACGGGGACTGTCGTTTACTTTTAACACCGAAATCGTTCGATCAAAGCGAAATCATTGTCAATGACACAAAGCGCCGTCTATGTTAAATCTTGAAATTGTATTGTACTTTGAACACTTATAAATAACGGCTGAAATAAATAGACGAGAAAAATCAATCTGTAAACGCAACGGTGGTGTCGAGGCCGGCGCATCGAAATGTCGTGTCGTGTTCGGCGAAAAGTCACCTTTAATCAATCCCCTGCCAGCAGCCATTCGCACGCGAAAACAATAAAACCTGCTCGATCTTGTTTCCATTTAATCAATTTGGATAAATTAATATATAATACAAAATTGGAATAAGATCAATATACTTATTGTATTTTCGAATTTCGCTACAAAATTATTTTCAATAACGTGAACATTTTTGCTACATGCAAATATCTTAAAGACAATATTTAGTATGATTCCAATATTTTAATCAATAAAAAAAATGTGAAAAAAATTTCGAATTGCTAAACGGAACGTAAAATAAAAAAATCGTCTTTTTCTATCTCTGTTTATAGTTTCTGTAAAGTACACCAATAATGTGATATTGTCACACATCGATATGATGCATGAACGCTGATTCGTGCATATATTCTCATTTATTGAACTAGTTGTAATATAGCTGCGCACATATGTTGTAATTATTTCTATTTAAGTCAATGTTACGATATGGTTTGTATATATATATTTATAGAGTCTAAATTAACGCTAAAGAAAAATTGCTGAATATTTCGCACAAATATCCTAGAATGATACGATTCTTATGCACATGATTCACTTAGATGAAATAAACAATAATTTTATAAATAATTCAGTTTGTTTCACGCATAGATTAAATTATACGCGAATATTTATAGATATATATTAATAATAATTGATGAAATTAAGATGAACAAATGCGCGCAACTACCGAAATGGATAATTATTATGAAATAAGTACACAGTGTAATTTTCTGCGATATAGATACGCGCATAAATGGCTGTCGCAGGACGAAATTTTCTGCTAAATGGCAGCAAAACTCTTTGATGACTTTAGTCGACACGAACCGGCACACGGTGATCTGAAAAAGCGAGATCCTTAGGTAGCTAGTTAAAAAGAAAAAAGAAAAAAAACGACCTCTAGAAAGAAACAAAGGCATTGATGTGACCGGTAGGGTTTCTATGCCAAATATGTGTGTATGCGCTTTTGCGCGCGTGTGTATGCGTAGTTTATGAAATAAACTCTGTTCTCAGTAAACTAGGGAATAGCGGATATAGACGAAATAAGACAGAGAGAAGAACCGCTTAGACCTCTAAAACAAAATGCCGAGTTTTAATTGTGCACAGGGTCTAGTCAAATCAATTTCATTTAATTTCACGCAAAGCTTCGATCCTTATTTTCTAAAATTCAATCAACCTGTCGACCTTTTGAATTCTCATTTTGCGCATTCGCTCGCTCCATTTGTGGATTACTCGAAATAAATTTAAAGTATAAAACACAACTCAATAGATCTAAAACTATCTTGCATCTAATCTCTATCGTTCTTTAAACTCCCTAGAAACGCTAAATATAACAACTTAACGCACGAGTCTCTTGACAATCAATTAAAGGAAGAAAATATCTGTTTTGTCAAAAAAATACTGCAAAGATCTCTTTTTCAATTCTCCTCTAGTTCTAGTTCTTTCAAATTAAAACTTGAGACTTTCAGAAACTTTAGAAATCGAATATTTAATTTTATAATATTGTTAATCGTCGAAGAGAAACTTGGCGCAACAATTTTACTGCCCTTTTCCGCACGCTGGGTAGCAATCCGAGCGACAAATTATACATTGGAGCGGCGAATGCGATTATATTGTCTTACCAACATCTTTCCTTCTTTTTCTTCGAGAGAAATTCGATTCCGACATGAATTCATCATGCGACAACCAAATTGAAGCGTGTATTGTACCACTTATTTATTCCTTAGTTAAACGACTGAACGGACATGACAACTTTTTTTTTTTTAACATTAAGCAGAACCCACGTTGTAACCGGTAAGTACAGAATCTCAACGCCTATGGACAAAAGCACAGTAATAATACATAGATAGAGATAGGATTCGTAGAATGCGTCTCATGGCATAATCGATCATATGTTGGGATTGTATAAAGACCAAAGGAACGATCGTAACAAATATTATGAAGAAATATTTGTAATTAATTAATTATTACTTTATTAACTTTTGTATAAAATTATATATACATATATATGTTTTTACATATATAATAAAAATTACACTTTATAAATTTTTCATACATATAAAATTAGATATTATATAATTGGACAATTACATTAATAATTAATTAAATAATATCTTTGCTAATGTATTCGTTCATTTGGTCTTTAGACGCATCAAGCCACGAAGATCCGCGATGCTAAGTCAGACTTCCTTTATAATCGGTAATAAACAAATATACGAACACTCTCTTTAACATGACATTGTATACTCAGCATGTTATTTCGGTTTCTCGATGTCAAAGAAATGCACGCGCGCGTGTCTATAAAACGAACTCGTCTTCTCTCGTCACGAAAAATGATTAGATACAGCTAAATACCGATCCAGTTGTAGCAAAATGCGTTGAATAATCGAAAACGCCGATGCGAACAGATACTTCGTATTGAATGTTTTTTTCTTCTTTTTTCTTCTAATTTTGGAAAATACGACTTGTGGCCGACATCGTGCATTTTGATATTGAATGTTAGATATAATACTATACTTATTTTTTTACATTTGCGCTGTTTATTTTATAGAAATTATTTGCTGAAACGCACACATAACTTTTTATATAATCTTTATATATCCATTTTTTGTTCTCTTATGATTATTAATTTATTTAGAAATGGTTGTCTTTAGGACTGCTATCAATTTCGTTTTCTATTCAGATCGGCGTTCTCGATTATCAGCTTTCTTTTTTTCTCGTGACACTCAAAATATCTGCTTCCTGATCGAGTAGATATATCGGTACGCTATACAGAAAGTAAAAGATACTCTATTTAGGAGTAACGCAAAAGGGAAAATGGTACGCACACTGAGTCGAATGAGTGATATCTCTGTTAAATTAATAGTTAAGCGAAGATTTATCGTATATTATACGTAAAAATAAGATATGTTGCGCTATAATACGTTGCATACGAAAAGAATGGGAGATGTGAATGAGAACAAATGCGACTGAAGAGTGAAAAGAGAGTAAAGGATAAAGAAAGACGAAAAAAGAAGAAAACGAGGACATAAGAAATAGCCAAATACGACAAAGATGTTTTAGAAAGTACGGAATGTAGTTTGGCCGTCGTTATACGTTTTAATCTAATCTTCAACTAGAGTTAGGCTAAGCTCGAACACTTGAAGAATGCTCGAGGCATGACGACAATTCTTCTTTTTCTCTCGCGAGCGTCAAACTTATTAAACAAGCAAACAAAAGAAACTACCACACTCAGACATACTCATGATTCTTGTAATGTTAAATTAATAAACGTAGATTATAATTAATTAATTATGCAGTAAATACGTAAAACCGAACACGGATTTTGTCGAATGAAAACGAAACGTGTGCTTATTTTACGTGAACGAAGTAACGGCTGATATTCGGAGAAAAGAAGAATCTCGTCTGTCGAGAATTACAAACCAGTCAGTTTCTCACATGTATACTACATGTATTCTTCCGCGTGAAAGACAGCACAAGAAACTGTACCGAATCTGAGAAAGATCGAAGAGAATATGTTTTTGAAAAAAATGATTTTCGCACTTGCGCGAGTAAAAATACGATACGAGCATGAAAGAGATTCTGCGAGATTTATCTCCCTGTGTATATTGTACACTGTAATTACAATTTATACTTATTCGTAATCGATACCTTTATCGGTAGGCTATTACTACTAGTGGCTAGCGTAATAAGTCAAGCTCAAATTAGCGAGACGGGAGAACCGCGCGAGATACTTCCTTTTCGCGGGTTCATCGCGTTCTATCCTCATTACAGGTGCACAATTTACTTTCTTCGATTTTCCTCTCTTCTTTATACGTGTTATTGTTGCGACAGGCCTATCGTACAAGATGTTCATAGAATCATAAAAGTTCATAGAGGCTAAATCAGCTCTCTTCTCCCCCTTCCTTCTCACGTCTCTCTAGTGTTTTCGTTTCTCCCTTTATTATTAGAATGAGAGAATATCGTTAGTGGACTTCTAAAGCAACAATGAAATTTCTTTTACAATTTTCCATCGGAAGAAAAAAGAAAACAAAATTTTCGAGGATTATTAGGACATTTTTTCGACTGTCGAAAGCACCGTTGTCTACTAAAGAATACGACACACATATCTAGATGATAATATAATTTACGAAAAAGTTCAATATATATAGCTTCTGCCGAATTTCTGCACGTTTATATATTTTCATGTCCCACAACACACTTTATTCTGTCATTTCGGTCTCTCTGACTTTCGCCAAACATACGTCTCCCCTGGATCGAAGAACTTGTTTCCAAATCATCTCGTACCCATATTTCGAATCGTAGTATTTAAAACGTTTTGTAATATATGGATCGCATGATGATTTAGAGATCGGTTCTTCGATTCTGGTGAGCTTACAATGGATGCAAGCGAGATATCGAGAACCTGTGAATCCATCACCGATAATTGATTTACCCTTGTTCAGATAACGACGAGATTCAGAGCTAGTGATAGATTTTTCGCGCAATGTAAAATAATTCAATGATACGCACCGTACGTTATACGTATAATTATTAATTAACGATAAATACCGTAAAGGAATTTTTAAATGAATCTAGATGAATACATGACTACGTAATGACACATCTTACAAGCAACATATCCTAGGTATTTGAGCAGGGCGCTGTCGGAGGATCTTTCTGGCGATCGTCATGCGATCGTCCGGCACGAGAAAGAGCATATATAATCTTCGCGACTGATGTCCCAAAGCGAAACTGTCTCGAATCGATCCGCATCATCGGCAGCGCCGTGCCGTTCTTTTCGAATTATTGCAAATGGAAAAAAAAAGAAAAATTAATGAGAGATGTTCCATGACATTAGGGCGTTATTATTAATGATATTTCTAGCGACGCGTGTGCGTGTGTAAAGTTCAATGTATCTGTACGTGTGATGTGAAATTATGTGTATGCTTGCGTTGATGTGTGATGAATGAGCGAGAAACTCGTACCCTTCTCCACGGATTGGTGAAATCAAGAGCACGAATTAATTATCGTTAGTAAGGTAGCACAAAGACAATGTAACAAATGAGGAAAAATGCCCGGTGATATTCGACTCACTGAGAAAACTAAAACAGCTAATCGCCATCTGTTTTTTCGCTTCTCTCGCAAATGTAAAAAAGAAATCCGTAAAGAGAGGGAAACGCCATTCGGGGATGCCTCTGTATCTCTTTGCGAACTTCCCCCCTCATACGCATAAGCGATTTTATGCTACCAAGAGTTCGTTACATAATAATGAACTCGCAGGAAATGAGTGAAAATCAGTAAAAGAGTAAAAAGAAAGAGGTATAAGAGAAAGAAAGAGAGAGAGAGAGAGAGTAAGAATATCTGATCATCTCGATGAATTTTATTTGCGAAATATTGATAGGAATATAAGATGTGACTCGTGACACCTTTATCATTGTCTGATTTGATGATATTTTGTAAGTCTGGACCAGTTGTTAGGTTCTATTAATCCCATAGCGACTTCTTATGGCGTATTTTCTCTGTATATTGTCAATGTTTATTATTAAATATTTTTCAAATATATCATCGTATTTATTCATTGGTTGCTTTCATACCTATATACCTACGTATTTCGCGAGGGAGAAAGAGAGAAAGATGATTTAATATTATATTCAGAATCTAATTAAAAGCTATCGCTTAACGGTGCAAGGAGTAATTTATCGTGTACACGTGCCTTGAATATGCGCAAAATGCAATTTTATGTCTTAAACATTCATGGTGAATTTATCTAACATCACGCGAGACGAGATAGAATAGTAACATGTTAAAACTAAGATAAAATAAGTGTCGCAAACAGGATCTTCGCGCGCGGTTAATATACATGCAATAGTTTTTAAGGCGGAAGAAATTTATGACACAAACGACAAGGAATATATGAATAACAAACTAGTCAATGCGCGAGTGACGGTGTTCTCTCACGGAAACCGCATGGAATGCTAATAAAGATAACAATAAAAATAAAAAAAGGCTCTAATAAATAATATACATAACAAAGAGAAAAATGGGCTAATAAGAGCCAAGCGCAGAAAACAGAACGCGAATAAAAATCTTCGTAAAAAATTCTTTAAGTAAATATTTCGGTTCTTTTTTGGTCCTTTTTTTCTCATCGTTAGTGACTGTTAATAAAAATTATTTGTGTTATACATAAAAACAATACAAAAATGTATAATAAATACATTTTTGAAAATTATAAAAATTGTGTGCTCCGATTTCCATGCAATCTATAAACGCCTCATTGTCAGACAGAAAGTAAATGAAATCGGAGCACATGAGTTTTTATGATTTTCATGTATTTATTTACTACACATTTTTGTATCGTTTCTATTATGACACAAATAATTTTTGTTAACAGTTACTGAGAGAAGATGACTCGAAGAGGAACGTTTAATTAAAGAATTTTTATCGAAGATTTTAATTTGCGCTCTGTTTTTTGTCTTTGGCTCTTATTTTCCTCTGCGCTATAAAGATAGTTATGCAAGCAGAACTGGTTATTCTCCAGAGTAATATATTTTTTGAAGAACACGATAGAGGCGGCCAATAATTTTTATTACATTCGACTTTGATAATTAATTACTTGACAAGCAAATAAAATAGAGTTACCGTGTCTCTCGAAATAGTGCAGCGGCTGCAATAAAATGGCGTACAAATTCCTTCAAATCTGTGAATTGAATTCATCTGTTAAACTCGTATTTTATTCAATTAATCGTGAATTATTATTAATTTTGCAATTTTAAAATAACGAAGATATAATGAAATTTTGACTTTGCCTGCATCAATGCGAACGTATGTAACTCAGATCTATAATTAAATATTCTATTTTATAAGTTCTATATGTCTTTAAAAATTGATATAAGAATTTTATATCCGTAAAATTTAAAATTGCTTAGATTTTCATCACTTCTTAATACAAAATAATTAAACTGTCTTTCTGTTAAAGTGCCGTCTGTTATTACAGTACAATATATGAAGTCTATAAATATTCTCTAAAAAAATTAGAATATGAAAAGTGTGTGTTCGAACTTTTTGAGACTTGGTAATCGTCAAAAGAGGTGTGAAATAGAAGCCTCGCTGGTAAAATTAAGCTGTGACTAACGCGATTTGTAGAAGCAATGGTTAGCGATGTCCATTAATAGGGCGCAGCTATCGATACTTCCCGGCCGTTCTTATTGTAGGAAAATTAAACAAGTAGCGTCAAACAAGCAAACGTCAGCGATCTACGAAGATCCGCAATTGTTACATTCATTTCCTGGGAAAATCAACGACTGAGATCCAACATAATTTCCATGAATTCAATTTACGACGGTACAGCTGAAAAAGGACTTTTTACCAAATAATGTCTATCCATTTTCGCAAATAACAACGAAATTATTCCAGATTTTTTTTTTATTCCTTTGATTTTTAGCTATTTTACTATTTATTTTCAAATATTTTACATTCTTTTTTTAAATATATATAATGACATTGGTATAATGGGTAAATCTAAGTGCAAGTTTTTATGCTAAATTGTTTATAAAATCCGAATAAGTATTCTTATAATGCTTATAGTTGCACACATAATATAATTTCTACTCTGTTTTATTTAGCAAACTTTTCTTTTTAATATCGAACTATATATTTTTAAATTTTTCTTTTCCTGCCGTTTTTACATTTTTAAATTCAGTATAAGAAACACGCGGAAAACACGCTAAAGATGTTATACGTGAAAAAATTGCGTTTATCGCGCGAATTAATTTCGCATCTGTTACACGAAATTTAACGAAATTATATCAGTATCTCGATGTCTATGTGCTGCAGTAGCTCGCGGAATCTTTTTCACCGTGTGACTCACGGTACACATGGAATTGCTATTGGCATTCTGTCCGGTTCTCATCTCAGTAGACTGTGAACCATTGGCGAGGGAGGACGTGCCTCCTGTGCCACTTGTCAGTAACGCGCACGTGGCGATTTGTGTCGGCATGCACGGCCAAAGGTGACAACCGGCTAGTATTTCAATTTCCTGCGTTCAACCGAAAAAAAAACCGAACGCATCGTAATTAAGAATCACGTTTATGTTAACTACACTCGTAAAAATAATTATCGGGTTGTCAGTATGATTGAACAAGCGGACCATGAGTAAATAGAAAGTTAATCTATCTCGTTGGTAAGTAAACCTATTGGAATATGCTTAAAGCTTTAATTTATTCACAGAATTAATATGATTATTTAATTTAATATTAATTATTTAGTTTAACTGAGCGCGCATAATTTATATTAATCTTATATATTTTATTGTCAAAGAGTTGAAATAATTCGAGAATAATTTATCAAGTTTTTCTCATTTAATATAACTGGATTAAAATATAAGATTATCTTATTTAAGAAGTATAAATTAAATATTGCAAAATATTCGTACGATTGATGTGATTTTTTTTTAGACAGATTTTTAAAACACATCATGTCATTAAGATTTATGTGACAATTGAGTGTCATTGTTAAATATTCAAGCGAAAAGTAATGTAATGTAAATTAATTAGCAGATACATTGGCGTTACGCACAATTATTCGCAATAAAATGTATTCAAAATGATATAACATGTACGAAACACAATTGAAATTCAAACTTGTTTTGTGAATGTTATTATTGATTTTCCTCATCATTAATCACTGTCCAGTGCAAAGTGCATCGCACAAAAAACCTTCAAGAGAGAAATTATTTTTTCGTTTTTTTTTGCCTCCAGAATCTGTTTCAGGAACTGATCGAATATAAATAAGATAACGTTTCATTAATAGATTTATTCGAAATTTAAATAAAACACACTACGCGCGTAGTATCTCAATAATAATTTCGAGTTGCATCACAAAATTCTAAACTTAATTGATTTTAGCAATTTACTCTGGTGGATCGATTTGATGATACTGTCAGCACAATAGAGACCATTTTCTATCTAATAGTCTATTCATATGTATATTTTAACAATAGCGAGAAATGGCTTTTACCTCAAAATTATATCCGCGACTCTTGCAATTCTCTCTTCTCTGGATTTTATAAAAAGTGCTGAATACGATTTTCAAACGTATCCCATATATTGCAACTTTGCATAAGATTTCATTTAATTCTATCGTTTTATTGATTTTATCCTTGACCTTCCTAAATTACATCTAACCAGTAACAAGGGATGAATTATGAAGTTTGGTGCACACGCGCTCCTAAATTATCGAATGTTGAAAGTTATTCAACGCCTCGGTATATTTTTAGAAAACGTGTTAAAGTTCGAAAATGGATCACGTGATGCGCGGATTTTCCCGTACGAAAGCCAGATCTAATTCGTGAATGACTCTACTGTGACGTCAGTATAAAAGTATAACTTAAATAAATGAGATCTCCAATTATCCGGTAATATGTATACTCCAGCGTACAATTTATTCCGGAGAGAGAGAGAGTCTAAATATTTCAGTCTGAATAATCCAGCGCGCGTAATTTATTTCAGTCTATGAATATTTGACATACTTATTATTCTTTTCTATAGAAATGCAAATATGCATACATATGCACACACATTTCTCATTCTTTTCACACATAATATCATGCTTGGTTTTGTCTCCGATTTCTTTATCTGCCATCTCATCTGATCCAAATGGCACATAAATATTCGCTTTTCTAGGTGCAATTCTAATGAGTCATATAAATGATACTTTGTGTTAAAATTATCGGAGATACTGCACGCATATGCAATCGAAATGGATTTCTGCAAGCAATACAAATTTCTACATATACTTCCAAGACCTGCAAAACGGATCGTTTGGCTCTGGCGTGCCGAAAACGGCACGATATTCCAGGTACCGGAAAATGACTTGCAATCAACGACCGAGTGTCTCGTCGAACTGATGAATATCTTCGTCACTATTTTTACAACACTCGTTGCTGCGATTTTAATTTTCAAGTACAAATGCAGCGCGGTCAGAAAGTAAGTTGAAGAAAAAAATAATATCGCGTCTGAGAGAGTTAATATTTTAATTTGTAATAAAATTATAATAATTTTGTAACTCACGAATAATCATTTCTCGAAAATCAAAGTTTATTTATAGGGCAGTTATTTCTCCCGCAATTATTTAGACGAATAGAAATATTGCTTTATCTCAATGTGATATAATTACATAGCGATCTAAAATGGGAAACGCGAGATATCAATGTATGTATATGTACTATCTAAGAATATACGAAGTTTCTCGCGTGTCAGCGTATTGTAACAGAACATCTGTTACACATGTTACTTAAATAGTACGCGAGAACTTTCGGGCTTAATTGAAGCAAGTTTCAATTAGACGAAATGTTCTATTCATTTGGGAATGTCCTATGATTCAAACGAGGGTTATGTTTATCCCGAAGAATTTATTCCATTTAACGCCATAAGATACATAAGCCGCCGGTAATTATACGTCATCCTTGAATTAATTATTATTATCTGGAATACAACATGCTCTTTCATCATCTTTTCGCGTTACTTTTATAATAACTATCCATGATAAATTCCAAGTAATATATACATGTACATATATATATTATTAATCTATTTATTCGTATATAACGAATTTCGGAATAATCAGTCATATATTATATTAATACAGTTTCATGTAACGATAAACAAAGAGTGGTAATGTTAATAAATATTATTAACATTATAATATATATATAATTGGAAAACTAAGTTTCAAAGAAGCTGACACGAGAGCTGACACGAGAGTTGTGAGCTTCTTTGAAACTTAGTTTTCCAATTACTCACTTACCAAGCATTTACGGTGCTTAGCAGTCCGTTTCTCAAAAAAGCATGTTGATTATTTTCATATGCCAAACTGCTAAACTAAAGCTGCACGTTGCAACGTAGTTTCACGCTTCGCAGAAGCAGCAGGCTGATAAATTCTGCGGTATTTTCGCAATGACTCGATATCTTGTTTGTCAAAGTACAACATGAATTACGTTTAATTAATCACGTGGTCTGAATAAATTTTTACTACACAAAGATGAATACTTATATATTTTTCTACGATTTTTAAGATTTTTTCAGTATATAAGATGTTTTATAAAATTTAACATTAGATATGAAATTTTGTTCTATTTGAGATATTTGGACAAAAAAAAAATAAGATTTAATATTCTAATGCCTACGAAAAAAATTTATTATAACCGTCGTGAAATATTCGAAAATTAAGTAACATTTAAAAAATATCTTGATACGCGCGCGTAGCAAATATATAAATATCTTTTTTCCGATAAAAATTGGAATATTTTGATTACAATCTTCATAATATCAACTTAACATTATATTTCAAAATATAATACATAAACGCGGAGCAAGTATTAGAAATTTTATTAATGGATCTCTTACCCGGTAATTATTTTATATATGATTACCACATTATATAATAATTACATACGCGTGTACCTAGTGCTTGTGAAATTGTTACCGCATGCAAATGAAGCAATTCCGTTAATCGCGATCGATGTACTTCATCGACACTGCTTGCGTTTTTATTATAAGGCAATTAATGAAACGGAGTAGCAAAATGTACTCATGCGTGGAAAGAGAGAAAGAAAGAAAAAAAGGAAGAGAGAGATCTCGTATTAATTATAGGATAAACTTTTTTATATACCAATACTGATGTTTTATATCTCGCAATTGCAAATAGAAACAAATTTTTTTCAAGTATGTTCATCTACAAATTAGCTAATTGGATGTATACTATTCACCATTATCACGTAATTAATAACATGCCGCGTGAGTAGAAACTTCAATATATTCTTTTGTCGCGCGATATAAATTTTCTATAAACATCTTTTTCAAATAAGGGCAAAGATGAAAATATGAGTTATATTTTTTACTTTTATTTGTTATATTTTTTTTCATAGCAAGCCTCGAAATAGACGCATACCTATTTTACGGAAGCCACCCTCTGATATTTTCCAATCTTATATTTACTTTACGCAACACACATACCGAATACCACAAGTGTAAAATAAGTTGACTCCAGTAACGTCATGATTAGGATCGCGATATATCTAAAGATTCAGAAAATCGCAAACAGAATGACTCATTGTGAGAGATCATTCAAATTCGTTAAGGCGCGTATAAACCCAACTGCCTACTCATACTTTACCCGTCGAATATGTAATATGCTCGTATACCTGACGCGATTACAGAATGCATTCATAAAAACTATTTCGCTAGTATTTCTTTATTTTAACTAACCAATCCATAAAAATTGTACCGACTGCTGTGAATTAATACTGAATGATCTGAGTCAATAATAAATAAGTAAAACTTTTTGAATATCATAATGCGACAATATGGAGCGAATCGTGCCACGACCTGCCGGTTTGAATTCGACAGAGCGAATACTACAGTACGCGTACACAAACAAACGCCAAAGCCGTATGCCAGCAGATTTGTTGACATTCCTAAACATTATTTTGTATAGTCAATACAATACATATTTAAAACTTTTTGAAATAATTTTATGCCCCGAATAGCGCGATTTTTTGTATTTTTGATTGATTATTAACAAATGGATCGGTGACGCTACTGCATCATTTGATGATTTCATTCAATAATTTCACATATTTATAATCTTATTTTTTATCAATCAACAATATAAAATTATTGCTCTCTAATATAGTATATAAAATTTATTAGTATATTCCTACTATTAAAATGTTTCGTTAAACACTCGCATTTACATTGTGAAATTCTATTTATATGATAAATAGATATTCGTAATAATAAGTAGGTGTAATTATAGAGTATAGAAAAATAATAATCTTTTTTCGCTTAGGCCTTCTAAGTCGCTTCTGCCGCTTCACACAAGCAGAACTTTACTTTGTATGTTACTACTGTCAATTCTTTTATTGGAATTATGCGAATCCATACTGACATCGATCTCATTGTCATCAATCTTGGCGACGATCGCCGTAATGTTTTGTTGGATTTTGCATCGCGAAACCGAGATGAGGGATGGTTTTGGTACCGCCGTGTCGGGTGGTGGATTTACGATAATTGGCCTTTCCCGAGTATGGAAGCTTTTACACTTATGCAGGTACACTATCGATAATTATGAGATAAAATATATGCTCATATGTCTCCATTTCTTCTTGTAATTAATATGCAATCTGATTAAAACTTTAAATAGTTCTTTTTTTGTAAACCATTACTATTTATTAAATTAAAAATTTGTTAATTCTATTATTATTTGTAAAAAACATTATTATTACTAATGACTACTTTTCTCAACATAGTTTTATACTTATTAAAAAAATACTATATTTTTATCGTATCTGTTTTTTTACGTTTATGGAGATATTTTGGAAATTATATCGAAAGAAATATTTTAGGCTTAACCTGTCCATCCAACACGTTCGTGTTGTAACAATGGGGATTACCGCTGCTTGTTGCGGATTACTCGCTATTATCGATTCTTACACCCTTTATCGTATGGTGAGTAGTAGTTTGATTTTTCAGTCGAAAAGATTTTTTATGACAGACTTATAATTAATAATATTTATATCTGTAAAATTCTTTCATAATTTATACAATATAGCGTAGATATAAATAGAAATTGAGTTTAAATGTGCTTCGCGTGATTTTATAATTATAATATAATTTCAATTAATAATATAATAATATAAATTTCCCTTCTTCATTACACATCTCGAAGATAATATTCCCGCTTTTCTTTCGGTATGATCAAAGTGCGTGACTCATTTTCGGTATGAGTTTAAACCTGATCGCGTAAGATGACATCAGGCATTCACAACAAGGGTAACTTAAACCGACAGTTAGCACAAGGAAGTTATATTCTTATCGACGGTGCTCGCTCAGTTGCTCCGGCAACTAATGTAAATGTTTGTTTTACATTTAGCGAATTTGTTTGAACAATAATGGTTATTATCATGCATCGGTGAGACGTGCTTATCGAATGCTAATACGGTGCTTTTTGTTCAAGCGTTATGCTGGCACGTCCACAAAAATATATAAGACAAATTTTCAACGAAGATTTTGCTTATTTTAAAATCGTACAGAAAAATATTTCAAGTTATTTTCTCTATATAAATATAGAGAGGCATTTTTACCCCTATTATATATCTTTTTCCACTCGTTAATATATCTATCATACCCTCGGAACTTATAATTGAAGCATACAGATGTATTAAAAGCCTTCTCACCATTTGCGTTTACGACTTCCTCGACTTGATAAAAGCAAACTGCTAGTGGCGTTTTACTCCTCGAATTTTCCTCTCCACGCAAAGTCAAATGTATAAACATCGCGTCGCTCAGATACTTCAGACGGTTTTCTCACCGTGAATACATCCGCAAGGATATTTCGGTTTTGCTTAGATGCAGAAGAGCAGGCGGTATACCGTTAAAAGGCTCGATAACATGCGGGGCTCTTATGTGCACTCCGCCTCGCCGTTCCTCAGCAGAATCACCTTCCACTGGGTGACTGACCTGCTGTCACGCGGTTATTACGCATCACTCGAACTCCACGACCTTGGACAACTTCCGAACGAGGAGACGGCGAGGAACCAGTTCGAACGTTTCCGCGATATTTACGAAACCGAAAGGGTATATTGATTCTTTCCTTTTCAAAAAAATTTCTACAAAAGATGGTTGATTCTTTCTCAATGCGTTTAGCAAATAATCAAAAATTATATATAATTATTACATATGTCATTACACTTTTATATTTCATATTCATATATTTTAACATAATAACACCCTAATACATAAATTAAATTTTTAGTTTTAATAATTAATAAAATTATTTTTATATGCGATTTATTTTTATATTCTACGCGTGTACATTTATACAAGTTAAATTATTAAATTCCTAGCTACGAAGCCGTGGGCAGAAAGTGTCATTATGGAAATGTTTCTGGAAACGAATATGGTTGGCTTTCGCGGCGGGTGGTGCCTTAAAATTGCTAGGCGATATTACGACTTTAGTAGGTCCTATGGCAATTTCTAAAATCATCAATTATGCGTCAGATCTACAAAACAATACTATATTGAACGAAGATTTCTCTTGGAAGGTACCGTTATATCTCTCGATCATTTTACAGTATTAAAATATGACTAGCCATCTAAAAGATGGATTTTATTTAGGGAGCCATGACATTTTCTCAAATTCTAAAAAATGGGTATTTTTTGGGGATCTTGGTTTTTCTTGCGACCATTTTGCAAAGTACAATAAGCCAAGCTTCTACTCATGTACTCTGCGTCGAAGGAATACGTTTGCGAACAGCTCTTCAGGTAGTGTATTATCACGTTATACGAGAGCATGATTATTCAGGATTATTGAAAATAAATGCAAAGCATTTAATTTAGAATTTAGAAATAATTTTTCCTACACTGCTTTTCATTCGCTCGAATTTCAAAAAATGCTGGATAAATAAAACTTGATAAAATTTTATTGAATTGTTCAGGCGTTAATTTATGATAAGGCTCTTCGACTATCTTCTTGGAGTATTTCGGAGGAAGAAAAACCATCCGACAAAGAAAAAAAAGATCAACACTGTTATCAACAAGCAGTTGACATTGGAACTTTGACAAATCTCATGTCCGAAGACGCGTATAACGTAATGAGTTTTTTCTGGATCGGTCATTATATCTGGGCCATTCCGTTAAAAGTAAAGATATTTAAATACATAGAGCAACATTATTACGTAATGCATGTATTACATATCTCTATTATGTAACATCTCAGAAAAAAGTTATTTATATCACGAAGAAATCAGACAGTTAACGCAGAATAATCCCTTTTATTATAGATCTTTTTTTTTTTTAATTTGTATAGATTGCTGTTATCATCTTCCTTCTATATTTAAAATTGGGTGTCAGTGCAATTGTGGGAGCGATTTGCTGCATATTGATCGTCACACCGATGCAGCTCCTTCTCGGGAAACGAATGTCGGAAAATTCCAAGTCTATAGCAGTACGTTATTTCTTAATTTTTTAATTGTCTTCTCAATTTTTTTCAATTACTCCATCTTTTCTAATTCTCTTTAAAAATTTTTCAATTAGCCAGTAGAACAAATTCAATAATAATAAAATATATCAATCATATTATGTTATTTAATTAATATAACAGCATAATCTCTCATTTAATATTTAATAATAATAATCCCAAAATATCTTCAGGAAAGGAGTGATGCGCGACTACGTCTAGTTAATGAAATTCTTCAAGGGATGCGACTTATTAAACTACGTGCCTGGGAAAATGTTTTCGAAGATCGCATACGCAGAACCCGAAATCAGGAATTAAAACTGCTGAACAAGGATTCTGTGTATTGGGCAGTCATCAGTAATTTTTCTTACATTAAAATATCTATTATATTATATAATATGTATAAGACACGGGAAAAGATGCGGACGATTACATTTCTATACAATTTTTTATAATTTAATAGCTATAATTTAACAAGTCTTATAATTCAGTTATTTTCCTAATAAAATTTAATTAAAAAATTGAGTAAGTTAATTTATACGTTAATATCGCAGACTTTCTGACGCATGCCTCCTCCGTTCTGATGACCCTCTGCACATTCGGAATTTATTTCTGGTTGGAGGAACGAAATCTTGATGCGGGAAACGTTTTTGCCAGTCTCGCGCTCTTTTCGCAGCTGACCGTGCCGCTCTTCATCTTTCCGGCGATAGTGCCGATTATCATCAACGCTTTGGTGAGGAATTACGCGTTCCTGAAATACTACTTCTTAAGTTCAGTCTCCGTGAGACATTCTTCACGGTATCTCTTTGTAGACTTCTACAACGAGATTAGAGGAGTTTCTTTTGCTGCCAGAGATCATAAATATCCTCCCCGAACCAAACGATCGTAAATCGGCCGCAGATACATTGTCGATGACAAATTCCTATGTCGATAATGATGTGAGTACTTCTTAAATAAAAAAAAAAAACTAATAATATTTGATTAAGTTTCCTTTTATATAAATTACGAAAAAATGTTTGTTTTTTTTTAACTAAAACTGTCAAAGCGCAATTAAATTTTGATAAAACATTGTATTTTATATAATTCGATAATTCAACTCAATGCAACACGCGTTATTTTCTTCAAGGTCGAAGTTATTAACAGTGTGACAACTTTCGGATCGCTCGATAATATCGTGGAGGACGAGGAACATCCGCGAGCGAATATCTTGCGCGAGTTTAATTTGACAATTAACTCCTCGGTTGATACAGTATTCGAAAAAGATCCGGAAGTTCCGGAATCTGTCGTTAGAATTAGATCGAGTACTTTCGCTTGGGGACCTGATGAAAATAAATTAACCATTAACGCTCTTAATTTCCCGCGAGGTAAATAAAACTAAAAAAAAATTTTATATTAAGATGTTGAATTGTTCATCTCTTTTGTTCGCATTATTTTAGGACAGCTGACGATAATAGTAGGAAAGATCGGAAGTGGCAAGAGCTCTTTATTGTCGGCGCTCTTGGGAGAGATTCAAAGAACCAACGGAAATATTGAGTGGACCAAGTAATTATAACAAGGAAAAAAAACAAGAAATAATGATGACAATATTTTATAAGCTAAAAATATCGCATGTCATCTTATCAGGGGTCTGAAGATCGCGTATGTGGCGCAACGGCCGTGGCTTCAAAACGCGACTTTGAGGGACAATATTCTCTTCGGTTCGGCGTATCGATCACGAAGATATCGTAACGTTCTGCGTGCATGCGCACTTCAACCGGACGTGGATATACTTCCCGGTCGGGATTTAACTAGAATAGGTGAACGGGGTATCAATTTGAGCGGTGGGCAGAAACAGAGAGTCACTATAGCTCGTGCATTTTACAGTGATGCCGATGTCATCCTCCTGGTCCGTATTTGTATTTTATGTACATTTAATATTAATGTATCAATTTCTTGCGTGAAAGATTTATATGCAAAATTTTTATATTGAGAACTGCTTGCAGGATGATCCATTGTCGGCATTAGATCAGCACGTTGGTCGACAGATCTTTGATCACGGCGTGAGAAAACTTATGTTGAGAAGCGGTCGAACTGTGATTATGGTCACTCATAGATTGGACTTGTTACAGGCTGCTCATCAGGTTTTGCAATTTTATTGACAAGAATATTTTATATTAATTTTTTTAAAAAGATTTAACATATTACATTGTGCACAAATAAAAATATACTTTTGTTTCAATTTTTTTCTATACATATAAAAAAATTATTTATTTCTATTATATTACGTAATTATTTCTATTAAAAAAGAATAAAAAAGAATAAAAAGTTACATAAAAATTGATTTTAAGGTAATTGTCATGGATAACTGTCGAGTCCGTGCTGTCGGAACAAAATCCAATATCGAGGATATGGATCCCGAATTGGCGGCCGAATGGCGAATCGCAGATTCAAGACAGGAGAATGAAAATCGTTTTCAAAAAACTGCCAAAGATAGATGGTCTTTGATTAGACTAGTCTCTAGAATTGGAATCGGTATAACAAAAAGACACGCCAGCGACGGATCGTGGATCATCGATCGCGATGCCCATGTGGTAAATAAAAAGGACAGAATATATTAACGAGAATATATTATCGCGACAATAACGTTATTTTGTTATAAATCATCCTTTCAGAATCCTCCAGCATTTGTACCTTTAAGATTGCGCCGAACAACTTTATCTGGATCAAGATATCTGAGTCACGATCTTACTGATCTTCCGGTACCAACAGAAGAATGGAATACCGTTAGAAAACGATCAAAGACGTATCGCGACAGCGTCAGATCGACGAGTTTTCAAACGCAAAATCGGCGGCCACCGCCGGTTCTTCGACAGAGCAGCACACCGATGATTCTCGAGAATCGAGAACACGTGGCATCGAGGTATAAACTTTCCTGTTTTAAGCTATAAAAAGAAACCTGACCATCCATGTCATCAGGTCTTTGATGCAAAATTGATTTTTCTTTAGCAAAAATCTTTAGCATTATCCGTCGCAAGTTTTCAAAATTTAATGTTTGATTTCAAATTTAATGAATTATTTCTTTGCAATTACATAATAAATAAGAAAAATTAATATAAGATAGTATATAATTATACATTCTTCACGCATTAATTAGCTTTACTTCTTGTATTTAATTTTCGTGCAGAAAAAGAAACAACACTTACGACAATGGACAACCCAACAGTATGCTAAAACAATTCTTCTCCACGAGGTTTCAATTTTCTTTTTATATATAGACTAGTATATATACTATAAAAAAAATAAGAGTTGAAGAAGTAAAAACATAATAATTCAAATTTTAGATATCCGGAAGAAATGGCGATAAACAGAGACAAAAGTGTCCTACGTCGGCTGATACTAAATTCTAATAAGTAATTACAGCAAGAAAAGAATTATCAAGAAATTACAAGTAAATAATTCAAAATCAAGTATTTTTTTACCTTTTTCAGAATTAGTCAACAACAGGAATGCGATCATTTTCCGGTAAAACGATTTCTATCGATAGAATCGCGAACCAGTGACGATATGGATGACATGGAAGAAAGTTAGTTATCAAAGCTATTTATATATAATTTTGTATATATATCTTTGAATCTATTTTTATATATACATGCAACCCTCCCTCTTTTTTCTTTTTTCTTAAGATATCTATTGTGATTTTTGAATCTTTCTTAGCTCTGGACGGTGAGGATGCAAATGAACAAAATGAATTTGAAATCGACGATAAAAGTGGAATGGTAACTCGAATGACTTGGATGGAATATCCAAAGTCCGGTGGATGGATGCCAGGACTCGTTTACATAATAGCGGCATTGGCCTATCAAATTCTTCGCGTATATACCGATCTCTGGTTGAGTCGATGGACGGATCAAAGCGTTTATTCGTCGACGAACGAACGTCAGGATGTAAATAGATAGTTGTAATATTGGCATTGATTAATTACATAAACGACAAAAGTATCGTATTCGTGTGTCACTCCAAAATTCATAATTAAAGAAAAAAAATTTTTAATCAATTCTCTGCATCAGAATATTAATCAATAAAATAAATTAATCTATATATTATATTAATAATGCTATTATTAAAAATTAATAATAATTATTATTGCAAGATAATATTGACATGTCGATGCTTCAAAATGTAATGGAAAAATCATATTTACGATAAAATAAGAAATAACGATGAGATATATATTCGTGTTTTCTTTTAATCAAGCAATTTTGAATTCGTATTTTTTTTTTTTTTTTGCAGACGGTATCTTATTTCAAGGTGTACATCATCATATCTGTGGGCTCTATCCTTTTATCATTTTTGTACAATGTGGCAGGACAGTGGGCAGGTGCCAGAGCTAGACGCAAATTACACCAGGAAGCCATCGCTGGACTTCTCGGCGCGCCTATCTCATTCTTCGACTATAATCCAATCGGAAAGATCTTGAATAGATTTAGTGCCGATATGGGTGTCATAGACAAGGTTAATATTCCGTCTTATATCTTGACAATGTAGGATAAGTAACGACAAATGTGTCGTCAAAAATAATTGAAAAATGTAAAATTATTTTAATTATGCGCGAATTAATTTCCATTCCAATGTTTTTTTTTTAAGAAATTATCTACATCGATCAAGAGATTAACATCCTTTGTATTACTTTGTGGCTCGGCGATGATTGTCAATGTTATTATTTCACCGTGGTTTTTAATCGCCGCTGTACCAACCAGCTGCGCTTATTATGTATTACAAAGATTCTACAGGCGAAGCGCCAGACAATTGCAACGACTAGACGGAAGGTATTACTGATGATATTTTATCATGATCTTTCGTATAAACCTTTTAAAAAATTTACATAATTTCATAAAAGAAATTATTAAAAAATTTCTTCTAATTCTCTTATCTCCTTATTCAAAAAATTAGAAGATTACAATGTGCACAAGTGATTTATGACATTCATATAAAAATTACAAATCATAACTAACAATTAAATAATAATAATTGATAATAACTGTCCAAGTGAAAGACGATATGAACGAGACAGCATGCATTTATAAATATTTAATAGGTTTCTTCTTTCTAATTCAAAGATAGTCACTAAGTTTCTTTCGCATCTTTCGCTTCCTATAAGCGGGAATGTATAAATAATTATACGTATGGCTCAAGCACAAGGGGACCGGTAGCAGCGCATTTCTCAGAAACTTTGTCCGGGCTTCCGACACTGAGGGCATTCAAGCAAGAAAGTCGTTTCATGGAGGAAACAATGAGACGCCTCGACATAAACACCAATGCGTTTCTCATTCTAAATACTAGCAGCAGGTGGCTCGGCATTGCATTGGTAAAAATAACGAGCAAAGTGCATTGAATATTAAAAAATTTAGATTCAAAAGCCAATCTTTAAAAATTTGATAATCGTGATTAGCATTTAAAAATTTATATTAATATAATATTATTTGATATAAATAATTATATACATATATACTTTATGAATTATATCGATATGTACGAAACGTCTCAGATTTCTTGATTCTAATAACAACCTTTTCATAGTTTGATAAATACTTTCAGGATTATCTAGGCGCTATTATTGTGGTAACAGCTATTTTTGCGGCCTTACTTTCTGCAGAATTATATCCAAGCCGCGTAACACCCGCTCTAGTGGGCCTAGCAATCAATTATACTCTCTTAGTACCGATATACTTGAACTGGGTGGTCAAGTTTACTGCAGAAATCGAAATGTATATGGGAAGTGTGGTCCGAATTTCCGCATATAGAAATGCGCAACCAGAGAAATATCACGAAAAAGGTAACTATTTTAGCTTGAAATTTTATCAGTAATTTATAAGCACAAAATTTTTTCTATACTTAATTTTTTCTTTATTAAATTTTTATTTTCTGGATTTGATTTTAAAGTAAATAAAGTTTTCCTTTTTTTATCAGAAAGATATAGTATATTTTAATTTGAGTATTAATCAAAATCTACTATTAGCGATTAATCTATGTATTAAAACACGAAGTACGAAGTCTTTTATTGATGATATAAAAGTATTTTTCAAATATCTTCATATTCTCCCTATACTTCGTTATTTCCCGTTACCTCCTTTATCGTATATGTATTAGTTATATCTTTCGGGTCTTAGATTTACGAGTGGCCGATGATTGGCCCAATAAGGGTGAAATTGTTTTTGAGAACGTCTCTCTGCGATACGATGTAGACAGAAATCCGGTGATCATAGATTTGTTTTTGAAAATACCAGCCGGACAAAAGGTAATTTTCTACAATTAATAAAATAAAAAAAAATAAATTTTATTAATATAATATAAGTAATAATTATTATAGTAAATAATAATAAAACAGTATCTCTCAAAATAATAATAGATAAGATAAATAAAATAAATGTTAAATTATCTTTTTTTTTTTTTATTTTAATATGTAAGGAAATAAAGATATATTATGAACACGCACATACAAAATTAATATTTGTATAGTTGGGCATTTGTGGGAGAACCGGTAGCGGAAAATCATCTACCGTGATGGCTCTCTTCCAGTTAATCGAAATCAGTCAAGGTCGTATTTTATTAGACGGGATCGACATCCGGCAAGTGCCTCTTCGAATATTACGATCGCGGTTATCGGCCATACCGCAAGATGCAATAATGTTTAGCGGCACAATTAGGTCTGTATATATAAACAGTGAAATTTCGCAAGTCTCTTGTTACGAAACACGTCTAGAGTCTTTAATACTATTCGACTCGTATACTTTATGAAAGTTATAACTTGGTGAATTATTTCTCGTAGAGAAAATTTAGATCCACTTTCGGAACATGAAGACCAAGAAATCTGGCATGCCTTGGAACTCTCTCAAGTCAAAGATGTTATAGCTTCGCATCCAGAAGGACTGAGTATGTGTAATAAATTTATATAATAAACATAATATAAAATAAGATATTTTAAAAATAAAAATGTTGTGTGTATGTGTACAAAACATGCATGTAATAGAATCTAATTTTGATAGATCTCGAGGTACGAGAAGGCGGTGAAAATTTTTCAGCCGGTCAGTTACAACTCCTTTGTATGGCACGTACGATTCTTCAACGATCAAATATCATTGTACTCGATGAAGCAACTAGTGCGCTCGATGTACTCACCGAAAAGTCGCTTCTAAAAGCGGCTGCCGTTGCCTTTGAGAACAAAACTGTGATCATTATCGCGGTTAGTAGATATTTTTATAAATTAAATATGCATTTTGCCAAGTAAATAATTTGTTTTATCAACGAACGACCAACTTTAACTGTTTTTAACTGTTCAACTAGTCATAAAAAAAAATATATGTTTATTAAATCTGCACAACCTACAAAGTTGAAACTGTCTCTTAAAATTATCACATTTGCATAAATTAATTTTTTTAATAACATTATATATTTAACACTAATATAATATATTAATTTTAATTCAACATGTTATTATTATTATTTATAACATGTTACATACACGTAATTATGAATAATTTCATGTCAATGAAATTGAAAAATACTTTAACACCATTTTTACTATTTATTTGTATAATAAACAGAAAAGAACAGCTAGAAATAAAAATATGCAAAACTCAGAGAAAACTATAATTTAAAAAACAAGAAGCATTTTGTAATATTTACTAAAGTTCTTACACTATCTTGAATTTAATTTCATTATAATGAGATTAGATAAAAAATTTTAACAAAATTAATATTTTCGCAGCATCGAGCAGTGGCTTTATTAGGTTGTGACCGTATTGTTGTTCTTGACGAAGGCAGAATCATCGAGGAGGGCTCACCAAATGATTTAATGCAGCAACAAAACGGAATCTTTTCTACAATGGTCAAAACAATTAACCAAAGTGACGAACCACAATGATTGTAAAAGAAACCAAAAACTACGTGTCAATTGACTTCACAATTTAATTGATCACAATATATTGATTAAGATAAAATTTTGAAAAGACTGCTTTAAAGAAGTATGTTTTTTTACTATATTATAGGAATAATACATTTTTATTTTTTATACTGATATGTGTGACTAATTTTCTATCTTTAAACAATATTTTATTTTTGTATCATGAATATATTTAAGATAATTTATGATTTTTTGTAAATAAAAGAAAATAGATTGTAAATATTATATATGTAATATATGTTGAAATAATGTGTATAAAAGTTAAATATTTTTATAATTTATACACACATGCACGCGCGCGCGCGCGTAAAGAAGAAACAAGGATATATAGCCTGGTGCAAGCGATCTAAAACCACAATCCAACCGTGCTTGAACACGTACCTGGTATCGTACAGATAAGTGCCAAACGACGATAATTACCAATACCCCCACATTGCCGATCGTATCTACTACCACGGAAAACGCAAAAGTATTTTTCTGTTAGTGGCACCGAGGCCGGCCTGTCGATAGCACCGGAGTTATTTTGCCTATCAGCACTTTTTGGTTCAGATCGGCGAATTGGCGGTGATGCCGATAAGCCTGACACGCGTGGAATTCGATATCAAAAAAAGGTGTTAAGTGAACATTCTATTGACACAACTGTCGCATCGATCATCACGTGAGGAAGTTATTTTCGCCGACAACAGACGCGATTAATAAATTAATTTAAACGGCAGTTATTAACACACGATATATGAACTTTCTCTATTGCATCAGGCCGATTTGTAATAAAGGAAAAAATATATGTGCTCGTTTCGAAGATAATTCCTACAACAATACAGAAATACTTGTTGAATCTAATTTCAATTTAATAATGAATTTGAACTATTGGTGACCAAATTCGATGTGACGTGATCAAACTGTCAAATAATTAGACTTCAGTGATTTTGCCAAATTTTTCTGAATTTGACGATTCGATAACAAACTATCATTATGTGATTAAGAACAATTCGACAGAAGTGACAAGAATGTAATTGTGAATGTGTTTTAGAAAAAGTACACGTGTCTAGAGTGGAATATTTTACACTTTATCGTACCTTGCCGCATGAGATCACAAAGATAAATCGGTGACGCAACGAACGGAATCGTAAAGTTCAAGAGGCAAGTATTTCCGGTTAAATAAATTATATGCGCCTATCAGCTCATATCAGCAAATTTTTGCCACGTGTCAGAAGATTCGCAGTTTTGAAAATACGAGGATACAAGCGGCTTTGTTCTGAGTCAATATATCGTTATATCTTTAGCGTTTCGTCAGAGTCATATAAGGAATTTTCGCCGACAACAGACGCGATTAATAAATTAATTTAAACGGCAGTTATTAACACACGATATATGAACTTTCTCTATTGCATCAGGCCGATTTGTAATAAAGGAAAAAATATATGTGCTCGTTTCGAAGATAATTCCTACAACAATACAGAAATACTTGTTGAATCTAATTTCAATTTAATAATGAATTTGAACTATTGGTGACCAAATTCGATGTGACGTGATCAAACTGTCAAATAATTAGACTTCAGTGATTTTGCCAAATTTTTCTGAATTTGACGATTCGATAACAAACTATCATTATGTGATTAAGAACAATTCGACAGAAGTGACAAGAATGTAATTGTGAATGTGTTTTAGAAAAAGTACACGTGTCTAGAGTGGAATATTTTACACTTTATCGTACCTTGCCGCATGAGATCACAAAGATAAATCGGTGACGCAACGAACGGAATCGTAAAGTTCAAGAGGCAAGTATTTCCGGTTAAATAAATTATATGCGCCTATCAGCTCATATCAGCAAATTTTTGCCACGTGTCAGAAGATTCGCAGTTTTGAAAATACGAGGATACAAGCGGCTTTGTTCTGAGTCAATATATCGTTATATCTTTAGCGTTTCGTCAGAGTCATATAAGGAACCATAAAGTTCTTTTCCGCTTTAAGAGCTTTGTTAATAATATTTAGCTTTGTTAATAATATTTAGTTTTTATCTAAGTGGACACATCGCGACATGACACAGCCTGAGATTAAATATATTAAAACTTACTAAATTGCTTTCGTAATATTTTACAAATTGTTCATGTCATGTGTATGTGTAAGCAAATGTAATATATTTTTTTAAATATATAAGAGTTTTATATAATATAATCTCTTTTTTATCGTAATTTATATTACTTAGCAAAAGAATAATCAATTTTAAATTGCAAAAACAGCAAAATTTAAATCAATATTACTGGAATTATCAGAGAGATAACACAACATTTAAGCAAATATGATAATTACTTCAACTAATTAGCTATTGTAGAGGTCTTAGATGTAAAATAAAATAAATTGTATTTTTTTTTGCTGGATATAGCGGAGATTAAAATCCAAATGAACCATTCGTTTCCGTTATCTAATGATAATGATGTTAATAAAAAAAAGCGAACTGTGATAAGAAAAAAAGAACGCACTTGCTTACTTAGTGAATTAAAGTATACAGATAAGTAACAAAGTAACGTGATCACATTCAAAATTAAATTTACAAGATTTATTAGATTATTTGTAGTTGCTGCAAAAAAAATATTAAAGCACCAAAGTAAGTGAAACTATACTCGGAAAGGCTTATCATGGTTGTTCAAAAAACTAAGGTGCAACCAGTGAACATGATAAAAGCAACAGACTTGTGATAAAAGCACATTATTTTGCAGATAAGAATATAGGAAATATAAAGGCAGACAGAGAGTCATCGATTGTTCGCGAGCTAACAAATTAGTAGAGTCTTCTTATGGAACTGCTAAATATTAATCGATAAAACTAATATTAATTCTTAAAAACGCTCCAGGAAACAAATAACTTTCGAATCTTTACGAATATAAAAACGATTTTGGCAATAATGAAAAAACTTATTTCTAAACATTAAATATTTCTAAACATAATATCGTACTTGATAATTGAGAAACATATATTCGAGCATTTATGTATAATAATACCGTCGAAATGTCACTTATATAGTTATTAATACACGCTTGAAGTTAACGATAGTTTAAAGTTTAAAGCATCGTTGCATCAGATGTCGAATTATCATTAAAATTTTCAGTTATAGTATTACTAAAAAAAATATAGAAAATTTTACACACACATGTACAACTTACATTCACTGACGTAAACATGCAAACTGGAGACATTGCTGAATCAGTGTATCGATTCACGTCAGCGCATAGATAAATATTATTATTCGTAAAAAATAATTATATTCTATGTTCAAGCTTTCATTTTAAAAACGTAATAAACTTGCGCATATAACTAATGATGCTAATTGTTAATCAATGTAAAAAGATATCTATAAATATTTATTTCTATTAATGTGAAAAAGAGCATAGGTATATATTTAATATATGGAATTACCGCTCTTTTTAAAAGCTGCATATATACAGAGTAACGTCATCATATATCAAATTATTACATCATAGATTAAAATATCATTTCAATTTACACAAGACACTTTTATTTAATAAGAGTATTATTTATCAAAAAAATATATAGTAAATGTGTGTAGTAAGATTTTACGGTATTTTCATTGAGTTTAAATTATTGACTTTTTGTTGGAATAATTTTATATTCAATAATTTTCACGGGACCAGATTCTTTGATAAATTTTAGTTATAATAAATTATATCTTTGCTTATTCTGGAATAATTACAAAACAGAAATTTTTCAATCATTATTTTCAGTTCATCTTGAGCAAGATTGACTAAGCGGGTATTAATATTGCTGCCTGACAGGAAAAATAAAATATTTTTCCTTGAGAATTACAGCCGAAGTATATGTGCGAAACAGAGAGGACGAAGGTGGCCTTATTAATGGAAAAAGAATAGACTCATTAGATAAGATGCTCGCGCGCCGCATATACCTGCTTGTTGACACTGCTTGTCGCTACTCTGTGTTATCGGCTAGATAAGATTTCTGCATCTTTGTCGAACTTGAGGCATCAGTCGAATATGCGAATTCGTACGGTGCAGCTCCGTCGTCGTAGCTGAAAATAAAAATCTGTATTTCACTGTTCCGAGATTGCGTAAACGGAAAGTGCATAATCTTCCTTGATATTTTTTCGTTCTTTAAAAGCGTAGTCTTCGAATCATTTTCATTCATCTTGAAACATTTCGGACGTCAACCTGAAGGGTGAGTTTCAAAAAGTGTATATAAACGCTAATGAGCGAAGCGCGCTTTTCGTCAAGTTCGTTTATCGAGAGAACAAAGCCAAGATTTGACTCTTCGCACGCATACTTTTATCCGTGCGATCAATTATCTAATCAATCCACGGAAACGGCGATTCGTGTTTCTGATACTGTCTGAGACTGATTAATTTCAAGATCGACTTGCATTCCAACGCTGATAATCGAAAGAAGACAGCCAAGTAATAAGATTTCTGTCATTTCATCATTGTCACGACGAGATCATAAATATCGAATTGTTAAATAATCTGATTGTGCAATTTAGCAGAGTAATCGAGATGTTCTTGCAACTAAAATAAATTATGTATTATATTTAATTTTCCCCCAATTTTTCTTTTATTTTTTAAAAAGCTACATTTATAATTTTGAAATTTTGTTAGAAAATGCGTCAGCATTACTTATTAGAAAAATTGTATCTATGAAAACTTGTAAAAGCTTAATCTCGCGCTCTATTATCTTACTATCTGTTTATAACTAATTATTATATATATATATCAAAAATTATTATACGATAAAGACAAAAATCTATTTTTCCTGAAATAAATACTAATTATAATAATTGCACAGTTATACTTTTATCTTTCATTGTTGTACTTACATTTCTGTGTTTATCCTGAGTATAAAATAATTTGGACGATAAGCGCGGGCGATGACAGATGAACCGGAAATGATTAAACCGAATAATGATTAAAAGGAGCCACAAAAAATGGCGATCCTTTAAAAAAACAAAACTGCGCGTAATTCGCACGTGTCGCTTTAAGAAATATAATTACAACCATATACGTATGCATGAGTGAAGTTAATTAACCTCGGCAACGCTTGTCGAGACAGTTGATTAAACGCGTCTGTAATAAAGAGCCTATGTAATTAATAAAACAATGTTACCTTAATTGTCCGCGACTTATAAAATATATACACAGACCTCTCTTTGCACACACAAATATACATATATCGATAAAACATTGGACAGCGTTTAACACGGGCATTAATTGTTTGCTATCTTAACGTTATATATAGCTCGTATTACGTTTGTATTACGTTATAAGATGTTTGCGAGACATAAAAATAAACGTACCATGTAAAATAATAAAATCTGAAACAGGAGATTAAATATGCGCACAAGACATCAAGAAAGAATTTTTACATAATTATCGTAAGAGATATGTAAAATTGTAAAGTACGTAAAAGAAACATTTACATTTTAAAGAATCTAGCTTCTTAATTTTAATTCAGACTATATTTATATATGTGATTTCTAACAGATAAGTTTAAAAATTCGCAAATTTAATTTGCAAAATTTAATCTTTAACATATAGAGTAAAACTACTAATATTAAATAATTTAGTTAAGCATAATATTTTATAAATATTACAAATAATCAATTATAAAAAAAATCTAAATCAAATTTTTAACTAGAATGAATCGCGAGTCCAAAGTTACCAAAAAGTTTTGTGCAGTTGAGAAAAAGCACTTGTGTTTGAAGACATCCTGTAAATCTACTCAGGACTATTAAAATCTGGAAAATCATCATTCGCAAACAATAAGTTCGATTATTTAAAGAGACATAATTTCTGATGATAAACGTTTTAAAGTTCAGTCTTTAAAAATCGCTATCGCTTATACTCGTTACAGGATCGGTTTTTCGCAACCGCGACGACCGCGCTTTTAAACATGATTCGTGTATTTTCCGCCTGGAAACCGACACCGAACGCGCATTGTGTAACAGATTACAATATCATTACTATATATCAAAAATTATTATACGATAAAGACAAAAATCTATTTTTCCTGAAATAAATACTAATTATAATAATTGCACAGTTATACTTTTATCTTTCATTGTTGTACTTACATTTCTGTGTTTATCCTGAGTATAAAATAATTTGGACGATAAGCGCGGGCGATGACAGATGAACCGGAAATGATTAAACCGAATAATGATTAAAAGGAGCCACAAAAAATGGCGATCCTTTAAAAAAACAAAACTGCGCGTAATTCGCACGTGTCGCTTTAAGAAATATAATTACAACCATATACGTATGCATGAGTGAAGTTAATTAACCTCGGCAACGCTTGTCGAGACAGTTGATTAAACGCGTCTGTAATAAAGAGCCTATGTAATTAATAAAACAATGTTACCTTAATTGTCCGCGACTTATAAAATATATACACAGACCTCTCTTTGCACACACAAATATACATATATCGATAAAACATTGGACAGCGTTTAACACGGGCATTAATTGTTTGCTATCTTAACGTTATATATAGCTCGTATTACGTTTGTATTACGTTATAAGATGTTTGCGAGACATAAAAATAAACGTACCATGTAAAATAATAAAATCTGAAACAGGAGATTAAATATGCGCACAAGACATCAAGAAAGAATTTTTACATAATTATCGTAAGAGATATGTAAAATTGTAAAGTACGTAAAAGAAACATTTACATTTTAAAGAATCTAGCTTCTTAATTTTAATTCAGACTATATTTATATATGTGATTTCTAACAGATAAGTTTAAAAATTCGCAAATTTAATTTGCAAAATTTAATCTTTAACATATAGAGTAAAACTACTAATATTAAATAATTTAGTTAAGCATAATATTTTATAAATATTACAAATAATCAATTATAAAAAAAATCTAAATCAAATTTTTAACTAGAATGAATCGCGAGTCCAAAGTTACCAAAAAGTTTTGTGCAGTTGAGAAAAAGCACTTGTGTTTGAAGACATCCTGTAAATCTACTCAGGACTATTAAAATCTGGAAAATCATCATTCGCAAACAATAAGTTCGATTATTTAAAGAGACATAATTTCTGATGATAAACGTTTTAAAGTTCAGTCTTTAAAAATCGCTATCGCTTATACTCGTTACAGGATCGGTTTTTCGCAACCGCGACGACCGCGCTTTTAAACATGATTCGTGTATTTTCCGCCTGGAAACCGACACCGAACGCGCATTGTGTAACAGATTACAATATCATTACGTTTATTCTCGGCGCTTCCGTAACTTGTATGACCTCGCAATTTTTACATAAACAAGTAAAAAAAAACAAAGCAAAGGAACTGTCGCATTATAATTGACCATATAGCTACAATGTTCCACGTCGAGGCGCGAATTACAACGATCTCCGAGACTTTAATTCCGAATTGTTAACGAAACATGATCGCCATTTCAGGGGATCAGGAAAAAGCGCGTAGAGCGTTGCATTCGCGTGTGATCACTGATCGGCCGTCGTTTTCGCTCTCGTTTTTCTTACATCTTGCATGTTTTTGATCCGAAAGATATAATGAAATTGAATTTCACATAATACACAAATATAAAAGACTTTTTATATATTGAAAATGCGAAAAAGCGCAAGTAAGTAATGAATAATAATATTATGCAAATAATAAATAACTGAGAATGCCTATAAATGTAATCATTACACGTAACTCTTTTTCCTTCATTTTTTCTTCAGAAGTTTCTTTAATTATAAACGAAACGATTTCTTATTTTCCTTTACGTTACGTAAAAAGTTTAATTAATTAATATATTATTACACGATACCGCGGAAATGCAAGACTTTCTGATCTTTTATTTTTTTACGCGAAACATATGATTTGTCCACGCGAATAATAAACTACAATAATAAATCGCTTCGTTAATTATGATTATATAACTTTTACAGTTCGATGTGCAGTAAAATCTCACGCGGCCCAAATTCAATTATTTCACAGCGATGTAATCACGAATTGTTTCTGATATAATTTTATATTTGCCCGTTTTTACTAAAACGGAAAAATATGACGATAAATTTGATAAATTTTAGAAAATCTCTTCTCGTAGAAGATCACTTATTAATTAATTAATCACCCGTAAAGTTTATCGTGTATGTCGCGACAAACATACTTGGCGGGCGCGCTATAATTAAGGTTTAGGCAATCGTTTACCCGTTTATGTTTAATCAAATATTGTTATCATGATCCCGATATAGTGTGTAAAGCCCGACCTTGTGTCTTATAACGAGATCATGCATTATTGAAGAACTGTACTGTAACGCTTTGCTCAAGAGAATTGTATAAGATTTTATCACAAAAAAAGATAATTTTGCAATTTGTTAAAAAATTTTGGTAATATTTAAATAATAATGTTAATATTCTTCATTTTTATATAATAAAAGACTGATATCTTGTAGAAATATATATACCAAGCACAACAATGCTGCACAACAATTATACAAATAATTAATAAGTGAGCATCATATTTCCTAAAAAATAACGAATCTTTAAATTATACAAACGATTTTAGATCATAAATTTTGGCAAAAACTTTATAAATAGAGAAAATTTGTAACAAAATTTGTAAGAAAACTCTTTCTCCTTTAATTAATTTTATATCAAATATATTTTTTATTTCTATTTTTTTAGATATATATTCTCATCAAACCTAATAATATATATATTTATTTTTTAAATTATGATAAAAAAATATTTTATTTAATGTTGATAAAAGAGAAAATAGGCAGTTATTTCATTCTCTAGTACAAAATAATACTAAGTAATAACACTAGTATAAATATAATTTTTGAAACCTTATAACTAATGAACGCTTCTAAAAAATATTACCTCGAGATTTTTACATTGTTTGCATATTGGTGATAAACAAAGCGACACTCGAACTATTCTCGCCAAACAATATACGAGGAAAGATTAGAAATGAATAGATACAGTACTTTGCGAAAGATTACAATAAAACCAAAAACATCGCTGAATCACATCGCGACAAAATCAACAGCAACATGACGACGCGACGCGTGGCCTGGATTATCGAGACGCTTCATAAGAGATAAGCGCGGACCTTGTCACAGATCTTTTCTGAAAGACCGCTACTAAACAGAACAACGATTCGAGTTGTGTGAGTTTCAGTCTCTTATTGTTACTAAGAATATTATTGTGTGAAAGCCTTGTATTTGGTAAAATCGAGAATATTCTTATTATCACATTTACAACGTGACAACTCGAAATAATATTAAACATATACACATACATATTAATTTAATTTTGTAAGACATGCTCCTAGATGAAGAAAGAATTAAAATTCCTTGTCTCAAAATATCTTTTTTAAAAAATTTTACATCACTCTTGCACTGGTTTCTATTAGATTGAATTTTTTAGGTACATTTATTTTAGTTGGGGATTATGTAAAGAGGAAAATATATTACTAAAATTAATTTAATCTATTCTATATAGGTACAGACCTCTCTGTTATAAACTTTTAAGTTTTTTTTTATATAAAATACATTACTTTACACATAAAATATTACAGATTTATAAGTCATTATAGGATACTGAAAAGTATCAAATACGATAATGTAAATTAGAAATTCATAATTGCAAATAGCATTTATGTGCATATTACAATATTTGTAGAATACATTTTGAAGTGTTTAGTATCTTTACAGCGTCTTCAGGAAAATTATTATAGCCGTGAAATGAAAACCTTTACGTGGAAGATAATCAAACTTGGTAAAGTCAAGAATATTCTCATCATAGCATGTGCTAATGCATTATGACGTCAAGGTACAAAATATCACGTGCATCAAACACCATTAGCATAAGCATGTGACTGGTGTGGAATCGATTCTCGCATTGAGAACGAATAGTCGTATGAAAGCTGTCACGAAAAATGGAATAGTCTGATGAACGTAATTCAATTCGCGAACGAGTCGAAGTATTCGACAAAGGAGTAAAATACTAATCATAAATAACCTCCATAAGTAACACCAAGCGATATCGAAAAGTGAATTTTGTTAAATGTCCCTATGAAGAAGAAAACGTGACGCGAAAGAGTGAGTGATTAAAATAATCCTCCTAGCACCCTTGTATGTTGTTTATTCGCGCAATTATAATAAGTCTAATGAACGTTACGTTATCTAATGTTACTTCGAGAGATACGAGATACGAGACAATTAAATTAACGAGACACTTTAATAAATAAAACTCCGCATAACATTTTAAATATTAGATAAGATTAAATTAATTATTCTATAATTAATTTCTTTACTTGATTAAATTAATTGTCCTGTAAAAAATGATTATTCTGCAAAGATACTTTGATTTTAGAAATAAATAACTAAAAAAATTTTTCGCTATCTATAGATAATAATTATCAATATAGGAATTACTTTTTATGATTAATATACGACAATACAAATGATATGACGATGCATTGATAAAACAAAGCATTAAAATGTTCATTAAATTCCTTTCACAGACAATATATCTATATCTTATAAAAATTCTTTTCTAATTAATATCTGTACCGCGTATTTTCTCTCTACGCACTGTGTATTTTATATTTCTATTTTTATGATATAAATCTATATTTTCTCTTTTGAATAAAATAAGATAAATATTAATACTGCTTTACTTATAAAATAAATATAAAGAAAATGTTTTTCTTTTTCAGGCGTCAAAAGAATTTGCTTTGGACATGCATTGGACGAAAATAACATGAGGTTTTCTTGCTTTCCAAAGGCCACCATCTTTGCACAGAAGGGTAGCATTAATGTTACCCCTCCGCCAGGCCATGAGGAATCTAATAACTTTACTATAGGCGTTGTAAGTCCTATGCAATATACAAGCAAATTACTATTTTAAAAAAAACGTAACTTTATTAAAATAAAAAGAAGATTTGTGGCGTTACGTTCT